ATGCACATAATGATCGCGAACCCTACACGTAATCTGTTTTCTTGACCGCACCGTATAGCTGTGTTTATATCTGCAATATAACTCGGTGAACGCAGGAAACTATTGCGGTTAACATCCGTGCTGCAGGCGCGGATCTCGAAAGTGAACCTGTGAAATGAATTACTGATGCGAATCGAAAACGTGATACCTCAAGAACATGATCGCTTTCCAGTAAAATTTATTTCTCTTTAAAAGGCAAACAAAGTCATTGTTTGATTAAACTCGGATATTTAAAACGGAGAAGTATAACAGCTTCAACATTGGGATTAAGTAAATAATTTGGAGTAAAAACTTGACTTTCAGCTGGGTTTTCAGACGACATCCACCTACGAAAACAACACCGCATTCTCCGTAAGCTATGTCATCGTGACCGTTATAAAAATAACAGAAATGAGAATTCTCGGCGGAAAGTGTCCTTTAACAAGTTAGATCTCGGCTTCTACAATATTTAGGAACTGGTTTGAACAATACAGATGTATAAATTATGACGCGTACCGTATCTAATTAACATCTTTTCGTGCATTAATGACGCAGCACTAAGTGCAGTATGATATTATGCAGATTACTTTCGAAAGCTGAAATACGACCAGTGTATTTAATTTATTCAGAAACTGAAAACCATGTCCCGGAGGTTTAATACGTAATTTCCGTTCCGCGATAGGAAATTACAATTTCTGTGTAATGCCTGTCCATTTAAAAGGAGCTTTTACGAAGTAAGTTGACTCTAAGTGCAGATAAGTCTCTAGTTTTATTGATTTAATTTTATAGTACTTGTAAAATTATGTTTAGGTATTTGATGATTTCCGAGAAATTACCCATAATAAATTCACGTTATTACTTAGAAAAATGAGAATACATGTGAGAAAAAAACTATGGTGAAACAAAAGAGTGGGTATCATAATACAAGTGGGTATCATAATAAATGAATTTACATACAAAAGGAATAAATACGTAGGTAATTTTATAATATTTGTGATTGTATGATATCTTGAACGTAGTAAGTTTATTGATATCGTGCTCTAAAAATACACAGTTGAAATGAAATGGAAAGCTTCATTTCTAGTGTACGTGTAAGTTAACGTGATATAATACCATTATCGATAATGGGTAGGTAATTCGAGGGTAAAACTAAAAGGAGTCGGCGTGTGCCAGGTTGAAACTTTCTATTTTTAATCTGGCGGAGAGCCGGAGAGGTCGCGGGCCGGGCTCTGGCGCCTCAGCCTCCGCGGCATCAGACAGAACCTTTAGGTGGTTGCCTGTGCGCGCATTGCATTCCGTCATCGCATGCGCCTCGGGCAGCGCGCATTCCTCGCGTACACAAAGTTCGGTGCCTCTTTTTGTTTATTTTGATTGATATTCAACCATAACAAATTTCCCAGACTACGTATAGTCAGTAAAAACGGAAATTTGCCTACGAGTGGATTGAAAATGAATAATGAACTACCGGGAATGCATTAGGGTGGACAGCCGGTCAGTGTTCCATAGCGTTTGACGTATGATTCTAACTAGATAATATACAAGAGCCGGTAACGCAACATCCACGTACGGACCTAACCATTCCTAATCGGGAACTGTACAGGGACTGGTTTGAGCAAGGAAATGGGCGTTATTAGGAGAAAAAAACGTAAGTTGACTTTTCCTAGAAATAGACTATTGAATAAACGGGGCTTAGTAATAGATTTTAAAATGTTGCATTATTGTTTATCAAATTTGTATATAATTGTATACAGTTGTCACATTAAATTTTTAATGCAATTAATGGTCAATAACATTGATTTTCGAAAGGCAATATCGGTCGTTAAAAACGATTCAAAGCGTTTTTGGGTGTAATTAAGGAAATGTCGAAAACACGATTAAAAAGTTGCCCTGCCACGAAAGAATGTACCTACATAGAAGAGCAACAAAATAAACGGTTTATACATGAAGTACTTTTAATTAATCAACCGGCAATAAAAACCTGCTACTGGCATTTCGCCCGGAACTTAAGAATATTTACAAAATTTAACACTTACGATCTCGTTTGTTACGGATGAATCCCATAATTAATGTAAAGAAAAAAAGAAACAAGCTGTCTCTGAGCATAATTTATTATCTGGATGGATAACATAACAAAATTTTCCAAGTTAGTTTTGTTAGGAACTCTATATTTTAGGTTTTGTGTTATTTTAAAATAACACAAAACGGATATTGCGCTCTACTCTGACCGAGTCAAGGTGATTTATTGTGTAAATACTAAATTATACGCTCACAAACGAATGTTATATATTTTTATCTTAAGAGTACCGGAATGATGTATGCACGTCGATCCGGTAACTAATTTATATTATTTTTTAATGGCCACATGTCATTTTTGTGACACTAATGCCTGTGATTAAGTTGTAGCTTCCGGCGCCAGGTAATTTCGTTACGGCTTTATTACCAATGCGAAAATTAAATTTCCTATACCACACATTGACTGTTATTGCCGCAGTAGGCTGCGGCTTTCGCAGTAGGCAGCGGCTTGACTCTGCTCCTGGCATTGCTCAAGTCCATGGGCGACGGTAACCACTTATCAGGTGGGCCGTACGCTCGTCTGCCTACAAAGGCAATAATATATATATATTTACATTTGGTTTAACAATCGACAAACAATCGACTTATCAATTTGCTGTGTGTCAGACCTGACTCGAAAACAATTGCGTATTATAATAACTCAGTCGTGCACAATAACCTTACTCCACTTAGTATCACGTTCAATAGACCATTATTGATATATTTTATGTAGTCAAAATAACCATGTGTGAAGGTGAGATGCTAGTAGAAGTACCTCGATATTCAGTCATCGTTTACTTATTTGGATGGGTAAATAGAGTCATGTGCTTAGCATTATAATTGCGTAATAGGTCGTAAATGTTACTACACGTTAACATATTGTGAAGTATCGCGTCATGCTATAACATGGGCAATAGCCCTAACATCGAAGACCTTTTAAATGTTGTGTCATTTTCCTAAACGCCTACCTTCAATTATTCAAACTTCCTTATTGTACACGAATTGTATTGTCATAAGGTGGTGACAATATTGCGCTGGTGGTGCTGTTATAAATATAGCTCATGCAAAATTTCGTATCAAAACGTCAAAGTTTGAAAATCGAAAGTAATTAAAATGGAGAGAATGTTTATGTTTAGTGTAATTTAGTAACGATTTTGAATAAATTATGTTTCTCAAAGCTACGCGGCAAATACGGGCTGGTTCCTATTCATAATCCCTTACAATACATGCTGCCACCAGTAATTACGCAAACTGTAATTTTGAGGATTCGATTTTTATAATACGATGATATTCGTTCATCGTGGTAGTCACTCGTGAACGTGAGCTAAGTACATATTATATTTCCATAGAAGAATGGTTCTTTCCTGCGGAATTTGAACACGGGCCTAGTTGTATCTCTTATTCTTACTTTTATCCTTAGGACACGACGACTTAATTAGAAAGTACTTAATAGAGTGTTGATTAAATGAAGCCTGAATTATAAATACGCCAAATAATACATTTTAACGCGTTAAAGCGCTAATGGAAAGACCTGGATTTACTTTCACTTGTCAGTTAAGTTAAATTGGAACTAAATTACGATCATTCGTAGGAACGAGCATTTTCCAATAAGACTACCGTAAAACGAGTCACGAATCCCTCTATAAACTATCACGATTCGTTCTGGGATACAATAGTTGCGTTGTTATTTTATTAAGGCTATCGGGGGTGAAAGCATCGACCGGTTAACGATTGTGAATAAGGATTATTGAGATCATTCTGGATCATGACCGTTCCTTTGTGGACCATTCATTCGACATGACATGTTTATTGTCGTGCTCTATACGTCGAGAGATCATTTGTTATTCAATTCAGCTACGGCCCCATTGAAATCTTCTAGAATAAGAAAACTGCTCGCGTACGACTGCATCATCAATAAACGTCGCAACATTTGCCCGTCCCATACAATAGTGTTATATCACATTATTTTTAATACAGCAGTTACTCTCTAAGATAGTTCCACGGGAAATCATTTCTCACATTCAAAATGCATACCTATATTTCTAATGTGGGTAAATAAAGTTAAACAATCGTCGCTCTATTGTAATATATATTTTTTTGAATGTAAAGTTCACATACGTGAAAGTAACAATGATAGCAACGAAGTCGCGTAATACCGATATCGTGACTGCTATGTTTATAGAACATTGTTCTGCCCTTGATCTGTCACACGTGCACTGCATTATGTTCCTGTAAGTTATTCGTATTCGCTGTTAAAGGGCATACTATTACTTATTTAGTGTTTGTCATTTGATTATCCTACATTTGTCAAATGTAAATTATCTCCGAAGACCTTGCCAGTTAATCCGATATCTTTCGTGCCCATCACGCCACATTCAAGTTCAACAGGCCGTTCTGTGTCATTAAAAATGATGTTCCAATTAGTTTAAGTGGCTCGTGCGCGTTAAACGTCATAATTATCTTTGCTCAGAGTCTTTTATTTGCTTCGACCTTAGTCTGCGGTGTCAGTTGACCATTACTGATATTTGTATTGCGTAACTGCGGAAATCAATAGTCTCAAAGGCACGTACTGATAAGACTGGTAATTTGAAACGGTATATTATTAATTTCGTTTCTTATTAATGGACTTATGTATAGAGTATTCCTTATCGTACTTATCATGTCGTATTTTGTAATATTAAATGTTTTTGTACGAAGTTATTTGGGTTTGGTCATAAGCCTTGATTATTTATAAATGCAATGTTCTTTATGTGTACGACTTAAGCGATAAAAATCTTGACGAAATTAGGAATGATGTAATGTTTTGAAGTTATCACAGAATGTGTATTCGTATGTATTTTCAATAAAACCTTTAAATACAACAACTTGTAAATTTTAATATGATGTTATGTATGTATTAAATTTAAAATAATATATAAATAATTCTATAGGCGAGTCTGTGTCGGAACGTGCAGAGAGCGAAGCTCGTTTAGTTGGCGAACAGCGATGCATCGAGGTGCGGATAAATCGCACAGCCGGCGGGCTCGGCCTTAGTATAGCTGGCGGACGCGGTTCCACTCCTTACATCGGTAATGATGAGGGAATATTCATATCGAGGGTCACGAACAACGGGCCAGCCTATTTGGCTGGGCTAAGAGTAAGTATATAATTTTATTTCCTATGAATTAGTGCAGAACTCCCTGAGGCTTGATGAGGTGACGATCTATGCAGGGTGGCTAGCAAGGGCTGGATGGGAAAAGCCGAGGATGTTACTCAGTGGCGTGCAATTGGAGAGGCATATGCCTAGTAGTGGACTCCTTTGGGGCTTTTTTTTCTACTAAATAATTCAGCCTCATATAAGTGTCTTTGTAGGTGTATATAACCACATCCGGTGTAGTTTTGTTATTGCAGAAGGGCGATCTTAGGGCCGCTAACAATTTTTTGAATAATGATATTATTTTAAATACGAAACCTTTAATTCACTGATGAAAGTAACTATAATAAAATGAAGTCAACAATATTTATTTCGCGTATAAATTGATCGTTAGGAATCCAACGGGTCCAACGGGTCATAGTTTTGTTTGTTCCTGTTTTTTTTATACCTATTCTAATAACCTCGAGGGGTTATTCTAGATTCACCGCGCTAGTGGGTGAGCTCACGGGGCTCAAACCGGAAGTGTTGCTAACACTGGCCCTAGAAAGAGCAGTGCTTCACAGAATCTACCTGTGTCCTAATCTGTGTCTATGGGTTAATTTACTGGTCGAGCCCTTCGTCGCAAGCGACGGGTTCGGTGAGGACGGTGATCGATGCTTGTGGTACCTAAAAGCACCGTTAATGGATCGGGAGGATCCGTAATGACGTGTTTAGAGCGACGTCGACTGCTTACCATTCGTTCCACCGGATCAGATGTGAAAGTTGTTCCTGTTGCAAAGCACATACATATCTGCTGTTTCGGAATTTTGGGATTCTCGTTTACCAAGTTGTCCGTGAGATAGTCTGCTCTGCTATAACAATATCGATAAAAAAAAACACGTAATGGTCGCGGAATCATATTGAAAAAATCTTATGGTAAAAGCCACGTAAAAAAAGGACTATAAAACGTGACCGAGAGCATTCCGTCCATCGCGCAAGAAAGCAAATAGAACGTTATGTAATGTCGAACGAAGATTCGTTCGAAGATAAAACGTGACTTATTTCGATTGGTGCCTTTAGTAATTTATCGACAAAATGTCGATTAACAAATCCTGGTCGGTGGATTTATGTTTTTCTTTTAAGACGACGCCTTCTGAACGACCTTTCTCGGTATTACAACGGGACGTTACGTTTGCGGATTTATTTGCAGGTCGGAGACAAGGTGCTCTCGGTGAACGGTACATCTGTTGTAGACGTCGATCATTATTATGCGGTGGAAGTGCTTAAAGCGAGCGGTCCCACGCTCACACTGGTCGTGACCAGGGATTCGCCCAATTCAACCAGGTGAGTTTGCGTTTTATAAACACAAACCAGTTTATTAACCATAAAACAGTAACGTTTTCGTCTCGATGTCGAGTCGAATTTATTTTAGTTTTACGCTAATATTTAGTTTGTTAATGCGGTAAACCTATGCTTCTATACTAATACTATAAAGAGGAAAGATTAGTTTGCTTGTTTGTATTGAATAGGCTCCGAAACTTCTGAAGCAATTTGAAAAAATCTTTCTCTGTTTGGAAGCTACATTATTCTCGAGTGACAAAGGCTATAATGTTTTTGAAAAAAATTTGGGATTCTTACTAAAATCCAATAATGTAACCCAAGATGTAATTTTTTTTATCTAAAATATTCTTTACATCGCGTGCCCTGCGAAAACTATTGATGATAGAATAAAATAATGTACTACGACTTTGTAGAACACATCATTATTTACAAAAAGTGTCGCGGCAGCATATGTCTAACTATTATAGTTATGCAATAAGTGTCCTTTTATTTAAAAAAATAAAACAACGTCAAATATCGTTGAAATTTTTGTTAAAGACATTGTTGTTTTTAATATTTTAATATCGTTTTGCAAAATACAGTTTAATTTGTATTTTCATCGTTTAGGACCCACAGTCGTGCCCCCAGTGGAGCTAGTCATCATTCTGTGTCCAGTACAACAGATACGGTTTCTACTTTGGAAAATGGACAGGTAACATTATTTACCTATTTACCATGTGTTTTTATTTATTTATTGCATACATGGGTGGACGACCTCACAGGCTACCTGGTGTTAAGTGGTTACTGGAGCCTATTAACATCTACAACGTAAATGTCGTCACCCACCTTGAGATATGAGTTCTAAGGTCTCAGTATAGTTAAAACTGCCCCACCCTTCAAACCGAAACGCATTACTGCTTCACGGCAGAAATAGGCAGGGCGGTGTTTAGATGCTTAATAATATCTGATTTTAATCTTTGAACTTTTGCGATAAAACAGGTGCCAACAAATCGGAGCTTACAGACGAAATCGCTCATCATCGGCAACCAATATGCTCAGGAATACGAACAAGAGTTCAAGGAGCAAGTACTCAATCAGTCTACGCCGATCATCGCGACTCCCGTTGCGAGTCACAGCCCCTCGCCTCCCCAAATGAGAACTGAGACTTACCAACGATTGCAAGCATCGCCACCTCCTGCAACAACTCCTTATATACCCCCAGGTAACAACATACAGAGACATTTGTGTTTTGTCAAAGACTTTTTGGCGGGAACGCGAGGAGTGAAGTTGTGTGATTTGTTTTATTTTGTCTATTTAGTGTTTCTTCAGGTTTAAATGTCTGATAACGGTGGTTTTTTAATTGTTTAGTATCTGTGGAAGTGCACAAATGTAGGAAAATGAAACAAAGCCGCTGAACGTAACTTCTCAGGATCCTCCAAAAAGTCCACTGAAAAAGACTCAGTAAATGACCACCATTTTACTGAGATTATATTTCATGCCTTATCATCTCATCTTATTTCACTTCATTTCATTTCATGCCATTTTCATAATATAATTTTTCGTATAAAAAACTTTTCATTAAAATTAAAATAAGACTTGACCTAAAGGTCTTAGTTACCAGGTCATAAAATCCCTTAAAAAAAAACTTGTCAGAATTTACTTTTTTTTACTATGTTATTGTGTTTACCTAATTTTTTATTATAGATGTTTTCTTGTCGCTATTCATAATATTCAGCTTAAAGAAACCGGGCACCAAACGAATCTGAACATAACACGTACCGAATAAATTGTGATGCTTAGATTTGAAATGACGGTAATCCCCTATTGCTTATCTCTCAAACATACAACAAGCATGTTCACATGAATCATAAATGAACTAACACTTGAACGCTTCCGTTTCACTCGAAATATTTCTATGAATGTCACGAATGTATTCGTTAATTGCCTCACTAAACTGTCTCTAACAGCATAAGGAAATAAAAGTCTTTATTATCCATTTACGTGTTCTATAGCAATTTGAATTTTTCACACACAGAAATTTCTCTATTCAATTTTCAGTTTACCAACAAAAGGTGTTAGTTCACACGACGTTGATCCGCGACGGCGCCGGCCTCGGGTTCAGCATCGCCGGCGGGAAGGGCTCGCCGCCGTACCGCGAGGACAGCGACGCCATCTACATCTCGAGGATATCCCCGCAGGGCGCCGCCGCTAAGGACGGGAAGATGCAAGTCGGCGACAAAGTTGTTTCGGTCAGTCTTATATATTAGACTAGCGGCCCGCTCCGGCTCCGCTCGGGTCTTTAACAAAAATGTCAACGATATTTGACGATGTTTTATTTTTTTTAAATAAAAGAACACTTATTGCGGTATAACTACAAAAGTTAGACATATGCTGTCCCGACACTTTTTGTAATCAATAATGTGTCCTACAAAGTCGTAGTACATTATTTTATTCTATCATCAATAATTTTTGCAGGGCACGCGATATAAAGAATGTTTTAGTTAATTTTTTTTACACCTTGGGTTACATTATTGGAGTTTTAGTAAAGATCCCAAATTTTTTTCAAAACGATTATAGACTATGTCACTCGGGAATAGTGTAACTTCCAAACAGTGAAAGAATTTTTCAAATCGGTTCAGTAGTTTCGGAGCCTATTCAATACCTAACAAACAAACAAACACATCTTTCATCTTTATAATATTAGTATAGATAATTAGGATCGCCTTCGATGACACGACGATGTAAATGAGAAAAAGTATTAGAGTATGGATTCACATACCCGTCCGGGCGTGGCTAGAATAGCCCCTTAGGCTGCCAGCGAATAGGTAAGGAAAGAAAAACGCACGGTCTCAACAATACTTAACATGTTAACTGCCATGTGGGTCAGCGGTGCTCTACGTGGCGCATAGAAGTAATTATGTCGATATCTCACTGCGATCTTCTAATCTAAGGTACCGGAATATCTAGTAGACTCTGGGAAAGACGAATGCGAAGATAATGAGAATGAATATATTTCTAAGAGACCTAAGACTAAAACACACATTAGCAAAAAAAAGGCAAAGTTCGGCAATTCAGGCGCTTAGTAACAGAAATCGACAAAGTTACTTCAGTGCGCCACGTAGGGCACCGGTGTCCTACATGGCAGTCAACGTCTTAAGATCGAAACCAGACTGAGAGTTAATTATCACCTCAAATCATCTGAACTTAACTTCATTTGAATTTGTAAGCTTGATTTTCATTACGCTCTCAGAGGTGATACGATTTTGTACAAAAAAAAACGTGACTTGAACGAGCAATATGAATAATTTTTGTTTGTTTTCAAGATCAACGGTGTCGATATGGAGAAGGCGGCTCACGAAACGGCCGTTTCGCTTCTTACGGGACACGAGAGGTTTGTCAGGCTCGTCCTGCAGCGCACCATCACTACCGAACAAGGTAAACGACACGATTTTGACCTCATTACACGCTAGAGCTTGCACAAACACATGTTCTAATAAAAAAACCCATCGATATTGACCATAACATTTTTTCATTATTTTATAAAACTACGAGTATCTATCTTATTTGAATTTTAAAACACATTTTTAAGAAACTTGAAACTCGATTTTCGAAATAATCCTAATAATACACAGAATCTAGGAGAAGAGCTTCGCGCTTTAACGAAACATTTTTTCTTCGTATAGGCGACCAGCCCCAACGCAAGTCGACAACAGATGAAGTGAGAGACCACAAGACGAGTCTACAGAATTTGAATACAACACCCACACCGAAACTCACGAACGATCACGTCGCACCCCTCACACAGTCCGCCCCGCGCCCCGCACCGCAACCCCTCGTACATCCGCACCCGCCCCAGCACGCGCCGGCACACGCGCCCGCACAGCCGCAGACCGCCACCCCGCTCGTGTACGCTCAAGCACCGACGCACGCCCAGCGATTATCTTTCGCACCCTCCAACACCCTTCCACCACAGCCGGCACCGAGAAAATTGAGTCAAACAAACGGACAGGTGAGCTTTGGTTTTTATTTCTTACTAATATACAACTATTTTACGTAAGAACCGTATTCGCTGAAGGATTATTATTAGCGTTTGTTTATGTGCTTTATGTGCTTTAATACCTTAATAAGCTATAGTAAAACCGTGCTCATTCACTGCAGGCGCCTACCACGAAACCCAGCACTAACAGTACGAACGCCCCCCTCACCGCCGGCGCCCCGCAGGCTTCCACCGACGACGTATTCGAAGACATACAGGTGAGCTAACGAGCCTCTATTACAATAACGTTACGCGTATCGTTTCGCAGGTGATGGTTACAGGTTTAACACGTTCACATCGACGCTTCTATTGTATAGCTTATCCACCGTTGTGTGCGACGCATCTCACGCGTAGTTAGACGTAAGTCGGCCACGGGATTCTGTCCGCAATGACTCGGAGTGACGTCACGTTGATCGCATTTCGAAGTATAGAGCTCATATTTCGGAATGTCACGACGCGTATGTTGATCCCAGTTATTCGAAAATGGACTGAATTTCGTGCCCAGACTTTCGTACTTAATAAGCTTGTCATTATGCTTCCTATTCATATTTTTTTTCTTATCCGTTTATTAGTTTTAATGTGTTCAGTTTTATTTTATTTTTGTTTTTTTTTAAGTCTTGTCGCAATCGTTTTGTTATTGCAGGTAATGTACTGCATCGGGCCATGTGCCCTATTTTATTTTATTATGTATTTCTATCTCAAGTCATAAAAAAAAAAAAATTTGATCTGTTATTGCTGTATGCTTTCATAGTAAGTAATGTATAATAGCGTAAATTAATTATGAGTTAATAAAGGATATAACGCAAATTAACTTAGAAATCAATGTACGTTTGACAAATACGATAATTCCAAAAGTATTCCATGTGCCTTGCTTCACAATACTAGAATTGATTGTATATTTTGGATTACATAAATAATAATAACTGGACGTTTCGTTAATTTCACGTCGGATGAACTAGACAGCGATTCAGCTATGCTTCGGTTACTACTTACCACGAGGTAGGCTTAAGGCCTAAGATAAGCGTATGCTTTTGGAAGGCAATAAAAAAAAAATCCGTTGCGTGAATATCATTCACAAAATTTTCGCTTCGGCACTGGCTCCGTAATATAAGAGAAAGCACAAAAAGCATTAGCTTAAATCACCATATGATAAGGCGCAGGAAACCACAATATAAATAGGCTTTAACAAAGCAGATAAGTACCGTTTTCTCTTGTTAATCGATTTTTTCGTTTATTAGCAAGTAAAGAGTTTTAGTGTTTATCAATAAAAACATTTTCGATATTCTCAGTAGTCTGTTGAAATATACAATTTAGCTAAGGTCTATTTTCTCTTTCTATGTTTGTGAACCGTTTTAATTTCTTTAGTGGCTATAGACAAGCTTTCTTATCTTATTTTTATCTTTGGGTCTCAACAGCAATTACGTGATACATCGACTCTATGAATCTTTGTAACATTACTCGGTTGTCTTCTCTAGGAGATCGACTAGGAGAAGAACGATTAACATGGTCGTCGACTCCTAGTCTTCCTAACACTCACGCGTATCCTGCCTATCCTATCTTGGTTGGGATAATCATTGCCTTCGATGATCATTCTTGTTTTTTTCAAGCCATTAATTAGAAAATTTGTGATGCACAGTTTCCGTCTTCACCATGCAGAATCGGTAGGGTGCGTCATCAGCCGGAGTTGCCTTACAAATGTAGGTGCGCCATACCTTGCGAGAGCGCCAAAAATATCTGAGCAGATTTCTTTAAAGTTTTCTGGCTTTATCTGTGTAAGTTTTATTCAGAAAGTCTGGTAAATTTACGAATTTTATCAAACAATAAAAGTATTTAAGAAATAGTTTTATCTGATTTAAAATTATAAAACAAATACCACTTTTATTTTTCTAACCATTGCTATTATAGCGTGCAAGAAAGATATAAGTATGCTGCTGCCGGAGATGGTTCTATCAACTCTCGCTGGGCCCTGCGCCAACCTATCACACTAATGCTTTCACATCAGATGTACCAAACAATGTCAAGATTGATCACCGCAATGGATGGGAAAATAATAAAGATAAGAAGAATAATAAGAAAGATAAATCTAGCTTTCCAGGCCTTCAAACCGAAACACGGTAAAATCGTTATGATGATAGAACAATATAGGACGGTGGTACCCACCCATCTGGGCTCTCGCGTACTGATTCCCCTGGGCTAAAGCCTGGGACCAAAGTAACTGCATATTTTTTTCCATTTCCATCTGAAACTGCCGTTTATACGTAATAAAGTTTAATAGTTCTCGGAGTGACTTTTCGTCTCACTCTCAACCCCGGTTTTTGCTAGATCGTAGAACTTCGCTGTCTTTGAAAACACCAATTTGAGATACGTATGGTAATGCCTTTTAACTGAGACGCAGAAATCTGTCTATTTGTGTAGATGCAATTGAGTCATGTAGAGTCAATAAAGTACTTAATAACAACAGACTGCCGCGCTCTGACGAATAATTGCATAGATTGCAGTCCCTCAATATTTCAACGCTCACTGTTAATGTCGCTGGTATACGATAATCCAACATTGAAGTTGGGTTGCGTGCTGTTTCATTTCTGTATACGGCCACGCTCAAGTGTTGATATAAGTCAGTGGTACGCAAATTTTTTTCGACAACGAACCCATTAGTAGAAAGAAAAGTGAACATGTGGGTGTTTTTTTAATCCAGTTCAGTTTAATAGAGACGTAAGCTTATTCTTATATTAACAAACATTTAAGAATATATAATAAGCTATAAGATAAGAATATATATAATAAGCTTTTAAGAATAATAAATCATAATTTTACTGGCTGAAGTTAAAGTTGTAATTATGCATAATGCTATGTAGTTTTTCTTCGGATTGTAGGAAAAATACATATACTACGATAATTCCAAGAAGAAAAAATCCTGCAATAAGCTTGTTCAACGGTAGCCTCGACGTCAACATCGACTCTAAAGCAAAATATCGATTGCTTAAAAGTTATGCTTTGTATTTGGTGATATCAGAAGGAAATTGTGTTTTACGAGTTGCCAAATGGAACGAAAAAATTGGTGATCTCCAACAATCTTCCGGCGGCCCTCGCAATGGTCTCGGATAGTTTACGCACCACTGATATAAGTCATCCTTTGCCAATTACGCGTGATCAACGATTAACTTTAAATTTACTACGATAAGTTTTTTGACACCATATTTAAAAGGCCATAGGGATAACTGAATTTGCCTCAGAAAGCGACACGAGATACTTAGAGCTTATCAAGGTACTAATAAAATAACAAGATTCTGATCGAAGGGAATAAATGTTAGATATCTGACTTGAAAATTTATATCTGGATTGAATGAACTGATTGATCTAATTTTATCAGCACTAGCGCGTTGCAGGGTGTCAAATCTACGAAACGGTTGTGGGAGATCGCCTAGTTGAGGGTATATTGCATTGCGGACTCCGGGATACCAGTGGCACTGCCAGGGGCGGCCTTACGGACCATTTAGGCTCGAGTCTAGATGACGTACTCTGTTGGCCGGGCTTCCTTGGAGAGAGCTACGAGTCTGTTAGTGTTGCTCGTAGAATCCCCCATACCTTGCCTGGGTTCTGTCTCGGACGAAGATCGAGTGAGGGTGCAAGGTAGTCGTTTAGTGGATGAGCTTTTAATATCTTCGGCTCCGGCCTTTAACGTCTTCGGCCAATGAATGCTAAATATCTCGCGCTCTTACTAGGTGCGGGAACCTCATAGAAGGTTAAGAGCCCAGAAAAAAATAATTAAATAAAAACTATTGGAAATAATTTGTTTTTTATTGCTAAGTCTCGCACTCGCGGCTCTCCTACACAGGCTAAAGCGTTACATTAACCAATTGTCATTATCACAATGTGAATGTCGCCATCCTTTTTATTTATATTATAATTCATATTGTGGCGGGTAGCCATCATACAACGCAATATATTTGACAGATGTCTGAATCTCGCTTACGACATTTTCAAGATAGGCTTGCATATACCTAGTCAGGTCATAAATTCTGTCATATGTTTAATGTAAAATAATTGAAACAAGTTTATTCATTATGTAACCATTCATATACCAGAATGAACTTAACAAAACATAGATTCTTATGACACTAAAGTTTATTCAAAATGACCTCCGTGATTTTGAATACAGGTCTTCAATCTGCGCGGCCAGTCGTCTATCGCAGCACGAACGAGGTCCATGTCAATATCGGCGGCTGCCTTAATCAAGGATGTCTTGAGTGACTCCAAATTGGGATGAGGCTTTGAGCACGCCTTTTCCTCCAAGTGTTGCCATATCTTGTAATCTAACGGATTCAAATCTGGACTGGAGGAGGGCCAGTCTTCGTGCCGGATGAAGTCGATTTCACGCGCCGCCAGCCAGTCTTGTGTGCTCTTCGCTCTATGAGCTGGCGCCGAATCTTGTTGGAATACCCAGTGCCTGTTATTGAACATGGTATGAGAAACAGGTTCCACAAGGTTCGTCAGGACTGTATTTTGATACACAACTGCATTCGTTTTTACACCTTTCTCACAAAAATGTACCTCTGTTAAGCCCCAATAAGAAACTCCCAACCATACCATGAGCGAGGATGGAAAATGACCTCGTTGGACACGCGGAATACGGTTGCTCGCTTCTTCACTACTGTGTGCGTACACCTTATCATTTTGTTTGTTGTAGCTCTCTTCTACGGTAAAAATTTTTTCATCCGAAAAAAGAATTTCCCGATATTTTTTTCCCGCGTACCGCTTCAACAAAGCGCGGCATCTCTTCAGTCTCAGGTCCATTAGACGAGCATTCAAACGATGTCCTGTTTTTCTTCGATATGCCTGAAGCCCTAAGTCTTCATTTAACACCCTTTTCACCGTGGTTCTGCTTAACCCCATCTGAAGGGCCAACAGTTTCTGCTTACGTTTGGGATTTCTTTGACTTTCGCGCCTTCACAGCTTTTATCACTGCTGGAGTCCTAACAGACCGAGGGCGATCACTTCTTGACCTGTCATCTACACTAGAGTCTTCACTGTATCGTTTGATGGTACGATAAACGAATCTTTTGGTTATATTCAAATTTTTCAGTAAAAAATTTGAATTGGCGCGTAACTGCAACGATGCAACGCAATAACTGTAACACGGTCTTCTTTAAGCGTCCACTCCATATTTAAAAATGAGTAAAATTCTAAAAGTATACATTTTTATTTTCATGAACAATTCGAAATTCGAATTCAATAAACTTTTTTGTGGCCAGCATTCTAAAAGAAAGTTTTTACTGTGTGACAATACTTATGACCTGACTAGTTATACAAGTTCCGAACAACAACATTTGGACCGTCGGTCTACCGAGCAATATCACCCGCTCGGTGGAATTTCTTCCCTTTGTCGTTAAACCACCCAAAATATAAAATAAGTATGTAAATTACGTTTTCAAAATTTTTATTTCTATTATAAGGAGACGAGCGTATGTGGCACCCAAGACACAACCAGATCCTCGGCACCGCATAGAACTTTCCTTAAACCGTGTTGGAAGAAGCATGCCGATAGTTATTATGAGAGTTTCATAGTACACTAATGAGGCTACTGGGTAGTATTATTCATATCTTAGAACGTCTGGGAAAACGATTTTTCGTATTTTAAATAGAAATTCAATATATTTCTTATCCTAGTTTATTTACATTTGATTAAAATATTTGCTGAATTGCATAGAAATTTTTGTACTTCTGATTTAAAAAAAACTGCGGAGTTTTGACAGTTTCTTCTTTGTGTTAGTTATTCTAATATTGACTAAATCATTCTGAAGAGACCGAGACGAGTGAAAATCTGAAGGGCAATGTCAGGACCATGTGATGGATGCAATAACACTTCCCGACCTAGTTCTCAATGTCGACTGAGTAGGTAAAGATGTGCATATGTGGTCTGGCGATATCTTGATGAAAAATAATATCCTTGTTGTTGATTAATCCCGCCCATTTTTCGCTATTACTTGCTTGATCAGCAGCTAACGCAATAGAGATCCGAATCGATGTAATGAACGATGCCTTTGCAATCCCACCATACATATAGAATCACCTTATTGCGAGTTAATCCGAGTTCCTCGATAGTCTGTGTTGCTTGTTTACCCTTTGGATATGTAGTTTCGTCGGCTCTCGTCATGGGTAATTCACTATTCATCACGAATTTTTAAACCTTTCAAAACGCTTCGGTTTCGCTGCGATTCATTAGAGAATAATAAAGTAAAGATGTCATTTGGTTTATTTTAGGGCAATCGTGTGGCACCCAAATTTCGATATTTTCTATATATTTTTTAGATATTTCATGTGGGTCAAAACTGTCAATGTGTGTAGTCAACCCCTATTCTTGAGCGATCTCGTGACTAACTACTAACATATCTACATCGCTCAACTTTTTTAAAAAATGGCACTGCTTTTTTGTGTGACAGGTCGACCAGACTTTTTCCCCTCAGCAACAAGAAACGAAAATAAGTTTTTTCTTCTACCGACGCCGAAAGTTCGGTTTTCGTCCCACTGTACAGGGAAGAAAGTGTAACTTTTCTCCCTGGTACAAGTGCGCATGCGCGTTAGTGTCTACGTCTGCTCTCATGCACCTAATTCTCCGCCATTATTGTGCTCGGGTAATTTGGAATATAGTGTTTAGTGTAAAAGTGAAATAAACACAAGGCAATAAAAATTAAATATAATAGTGAAGTATTAAACAAAGATGAGTTCATCAGACAGTTCTTATTTAATTAGTAGTAGTTTATTTAAAAATTAAAAAACAGTTAAATTGTTTCTTTTATGAGTAGGTAGGGGCTACGCCACCCCTCTACCCCCGCCAGGGCTTCGCCCCTATATCCCGGCTCGGTACTCCACGAACTTTCGGCCTGGTAGGATAAAATAGTATGTGCACCGCGGGAAAAAAAGTTGGACATTTCCTCCCGCGTGTGAAATACTTTACTCCCTTGGTGCACAATGTACTATTGTTCGGTTTCTATGTCCATTAGTCAGTTTGGGGTTTTTTAAGTTGACCATCAGTATACATTTCTAAGGTGTACGAGAACCATTGTACCTATTAATAAATAATTAGGTCCAAGTATAAACTATTATTGGTTGTAACGAAATTGAAATAAAATATGTAAAAAATATATAAAAATATTGACGAATAAAGTATTCGATATGTCGGAAATAATATTATCACAATAATAAACGGAAGATAATACTGTAATAAGAGAACTATAAATAAAAACGAATGAAAGTATACAGCAAAAACCAAGTATAAACTTTTAATGAAACATCCATTACCACATCTCATAATAGGGTATGAAATATAATATAGAGTGATAGTATGTGAACGTGTTAAACGTACAGCCATCGCGACCGATAACGAACGAGGAGTTCCAAGCGATGATTCCCGCTCACTTCCTGGGCGGGCCCCGCGCCCGGCCGGCTCACGAGGGTCCGCCCGAGCGCGGCGTGCGCGTCACGGTAGAGCGCGCACCCACCGGCGTGGTGCTGCCTCCGCCGCCGGACGCGCTCGGCCGCGTCACGGAGACCATCACCAAGTCGACCTTCACCGAGACCACCGTCACACGGGTCACGGACAACCACTTCGTTGCGCCCCTCATCATAGAAGTAAGACTTCACACGAATTATCGACTGCATATTCACACATATTCACGTAGGAACGATAACTTTCCTCCGTGTACCAATCAATGCTCGTACAAATATAATGTGTTGTATTTCGTTCCTTGTAATATATCTACGAGACATTATTATAAAAAATCACTATGACACAGAATATTCGATTGTCGATATTAGAATCTTTAAAATAGAATTCAAGAATAAGATTTCAGTAGTTGGCAACATTAAAACAGATGTTAATAATGACAATGAATGCAATTTAATTTAATTACAGTTTAAGATGAACATGTAATTATCTCTAATTAGTTTAAAAATATCTTATTTTTGAATTCTTATTTTGAAATAATAGCAAAATAATAAATGTAATTTCTCGGATAGAGAGCTACTATGCGATGAAATTCATTTAATTTTGCAAGTTAAATTTCTCATAGCACTATTCTGTGAATCAAGTTCATTTTTCAACCAAAACAATGCCTCATTTTGTTTCAGGATGTCACTCTCTTGAAGGAAGGCGGATCCCTTGGTTTCAGTATCATCGGCGGCACCGATCATTCGTGTGTACCGTTCGGAGGAAAGGAACCAGGGATTTTTATCTCACACGTAAGTAAATTATCTTTTTACTAAATTAAATTTACATATTAAAAACACTGTAACCGTAGTAAAATTAAAAAAATATATATTTATTTACTTTGCACGCATATAGTAAGTGTAAGTAAGGCATCTATTGCTGGTGTTAGGGCGTCTTATGAGGTGCCTATTTCATCGTGCTTAATGCGAGTTTTTTAACGTTCTCGATAGCGTAAAAGTTAACTCAAATTTATATGGAGTTGAAACGTTTGCTTACCTTTGCCGCTAAGGGCGCTGTTCCAACTGCGTACAAATTTCAGTTACTTTTACATTATCAAGAACGTTAAACAACTCGCACTAAGCACACTGTTGTGAGACAGTAAACCGTTTCGATTGGAAAGGCAGCCATTGTTTTGTAAAACTGAGATTTCAGAAGCTATATCTCGATGTGGGTAAGGGCATATTTACGTTGTTGATGTCTATGGCTTCAGGTAATCCTCTTAATGCCAGTGTGCTTAGTGCGAGTTTTTTAACTTTTACATCGTATAAAAATTTGTGCGGAGTTGAAACAGCGACCCTACGTTTGCCGCTAGGGGCGCTGTTCCAACTCCATACAAATCGTTACGTGATCGAGAAGTTAAAAAACTCGGACTAAGCACACAGGTAGACAGCGGGCTCATCCACCTCACGAAACCAACAGTTTGTATGATACTTAACTGATTGTTTTGTTTAAATGACACGAACACCATTGATCTTGTGGCAGGTCGTGCCGGGAGGAGTCGCGGCGCGCTCAGGCAAGCTCCGCATGGGTGATCGTTTGCTGAAAGTGAACGGAAACGACTTGGCCGGAGTCACGCACCGCGACGCTGTACAGCTTCTGCTGCAGCCCGGCGCCACGCTGTCGCTCACCGTTCGTCACGACCCACTACCTATCGGATACCAGGTCCGTTACTACCGGCACTCACTGACTAAACTATAATTATAAATAAATAAATAAAAAATTGCGTAATTACTGGTGGTAGGACCTCTTGTGAGTCCGCGCGGGTGGGTACCACCACCTTGCCTATTTCTGCCGTGAAGCAGTAATGTGTTTCGGTTTGAAGGGTGGGGCAGCCGTTGTAACTATACTTGAGACCTTAGAACTTATATCTCAAGGTGGGTGGCGCATTTACATTGTGGATGTCTATGGGCTCCAGTAACCACTTAACACCAGCTGGTGGGCTGTGAGCTCGTTCACCCATCTAAGCAATAAAAAAAACGCAAAGAAATTCAGTGTGCTTAGTGCGAGTTTCCTAACGTTCTCGATAGCTTAAAAGGTAAGCCAATTTTGTATGCAGTTGGAACAGCGCCCCTAGCGGCAAACGTACGTAAACGATCCCATTCGATACAAATACGAGCTAACTTTTACGCTATCGAGAACGTTAAAAAACTCGCACTAAGTACACTGTTGATCGGAAGTCAACGCCGTGGATAGCGAGAGGTCAATGACGTTCTCCAACGTTTATGTTTGCGAAATTAAATCGCGTTCCACAGCGTCAAGTGTTCCGATTAAACAGACCCAAGCTTGTTGTTGTGTGACACCGGAGGACTCGCGTTAATAAGATTTTCAGCACAGGTTTTTCTTTATAATGATTTAGTACGTGCTTTAAAAAGTTTATTTTTTATTTGTGTATAAATTATTACAATACATTCAAGACTAGTTTATATTATTTGTTAATATGTACCTTATGTATATGGTCGATAATTGAATTTCGTTTAAAATACATAGTTTGTATCACCGGTGTCACATAACCTTTGATTCGGCCTAAATTTTTTGTATAGGGCGATCCGTTAAATAACATTAAAAAATAACTGTGTAAATAAATTCAGATGTGTGTGAAGCGTACGATGTTTTGCATGTGTGCAAGTAAACGAGTTTTTGTCGATTAAATTGGTGAGAAGTTTTGAATGCGATGTGAACTATTTAGTAGTATAATGGGATGTCGCTTAAAAGTAGACATTTGGCGGTATCAGTGCGGTAAAAAGACGCATAACGCTTATGCACAAGTACATTATAAACGAAAGCATAAAAATTGATTAAATTCATTTAATGCAACATTCGCTGACATATAATGCGAACATATTTTTTAAGACTACCCACATTAATACTAAAATTAATTACGGTAAATAAAAGGCAATACGTTGTTTTGTTCCACACGTACGCACGACGGGCTCTGCTCCGCACGATCAGGGTCTCATTCAAGTTGAGATTGTTGAAGCAACTGTAAGTTTGAACGTCACTCGGCAATCTCCAACTGTGTGTGTCACTTTAATGAATCTTTATGTCAGTTAAATCCCTCGTCCCCGTCGATGTGCCCCGCTATCGTCGTTCCGAATGATTATTTTGTAAATTCAGCTTTATAACCTACTTCGTAGAGACCGTTTTCGTCCAATTTCAATATTATTAGCTTTCACCGGTTTTTTATAGCTTTAGAAAATGTTAAGTGTGTTATGATTTGAATACTGTCTTGTGCTATGCATCTGATTTTCAGTTTTGTGTATTGAGTACAAAGCTTTATTACATTTCCAGTGCATGAAATTAATAAGAACGCTTTGCATGTTTTTGTTAAAAAATGAAATGTTAAATGAAAACAAAAAAGGAACCAAGTAAATTTTATAAATAATAATTAATAAACATAATCACTGTAATACTAAAATCTGAATTTACCTTTGAAAAGATAGAAAAAATCGCCAAATCAGAACAAAAAACATTCTTAAAATATTTATATTCAAATATTATTACTCAGGAATTAACGATCATAAAACAAGAAGGCGAGAAACTCGGTATGCATATCAAGGGTGGCCTTAAAGGACAGCGTGGCAACCCTAACGATCCCAACGATGAGGGAGTTTTCATATCAAAAGTCAACAGCGGCGGAGCGGCCAGAAGGGATGGCAGGCTCAAGGTAAATAAAAACTATGTTCATTAAAAATATCAATGTCAACATTTTACTTAAAAAATAAAATCTTTTTTAATTGCGTGGATGGGTAGATAATCTCACAGCCCACCTAGTGTTTAGTGGTCTTCGGAGCCCATAGACATCTGCAACGTAAATGCCGCCACACCCACCTTTTAAGCACCACCAGCATTTAACTTTAAAGATACTTTTACTGGTGGTAGGACGTCTTGTGAGTCCGCACGGGTAGGTACCACCAACCGGCCTATTTCTGCCATGAAGCAGTAATGCGTTTCGGTTTGGAGAGGCAGCCGTTGTAACTATACTGTGACCTTAAAACTCATATCTCAAGGTGTGTGGCGCATTTACGTTGTAGATGTCTATGGACTCCAGTAACCACTTAACACCAGGTGGGCTGTGAGATCGTCCACCCATCTAAGCAATAAAATATATATCGACAGGTCGGCATGCGTCTGTTAGAAGTCAACGGTATTTCGCTACTGGGAGCGACCCACGCGGAGGCCGTCAACGCGTTGCGTTCGGCCACGCTCGCGCCGCTCCATCTGGTTGTCTGCCAAGGATACACCAGACCGGAGAAGTATACGGTGAGTCACCCGCCGGCTACGCGTGCATGTGTCAGAGCATTACCACAACGAAACACTGAGCTTACACAGACACCTTATACGTTGGCGTAGACAGAGGTGAAACAAACAAAAAAAAACAATCTATAGAAATAACTATTACAGATAACCCTCCTATAACGCTTATTATTATCCCATAATCCACTATGGACATACAATATATGGGAATAACCAAAATTTTACTGCTTATTTATTATAAGTATAATAGGTAAAAAATACATACCTACAGGCATAGTTGAGATGTCTCATTCAGAAAAAATGTTTGTCTTGAAAAATTACTTATGCATCAAGGACCAATGAAAATGCAATAATAATTTCGTTTCCAATATCCTAGCTAATATCAACAGGATTATAAAAAAATTATATTAATTGTCATTTCGGTTTAAATGTTTTTTTTTTAATATGTCTTCCTCCCCCACAAGTATGAGCCCTGACTACGTCAATGTCTGCTTATAATAAAATAAACGCAGCTCAAAATAAACAATCCACTAACGAACGAAATCTTACAAAGTGTGGATCCTAATTCTATTGCATGTTTAAAAAACATTTTACTCAATGAATATGACACAATTGTTTTGGTGCACATCCGGCGACTAGGGCACGCAATGAACACTAAACTATAAATACGCTGTAACCGCTAGAAAGAGATGCAATATGCGTGTGTGTTGCGCAGACCGGTAGCGAAAGCGGGACGACTGAAACCGGCGGCTCTCTGTCTCACTCAACGTCAAGCCTGGATAGGGACGAACCGTTGCACAGCCAACAACCGGTCAGTATGCTTAATACATTTATATTTTAAAACTCGTATTATTTACTGCACATTTTCAATGAGACAAAAAAAATGAATGTTTGTAATGTTGGAATTTATTAGATAAGTGCGAAATTATGTGCATGTCTCGATTTTCACGAGCACAAATTGTTTGCATTCAAGCACGTTACCTTATGCCTATAAATAAATGTTGTATATAATATAATCATTAAATAATAAATTAAAACGTACCATCAGATCGATTAATTTTAGTCTATATAGAATTTTAATAAACACGTACTATTACTCATTGATTTAAAAATCAGTGTTTTGAATTTATTAAAATCATTCGCAAAATTTAATTCTGTATTCTTCGTCTGGTGACCGAATTTCAACCATAATCAAGGAAATCTCAGGATTTAGATACAGTTTCCGTATCTCTTTTGTTTTCTTGTAAACATTTGGGAAAAAAATCTTAAGACCACCATCAAGCAAAAGTTTAATAGATACACAACTATTTCGTCTTTATGGAAAAAGAAAAAGTTGAAAACCTTAAAGCTACTTCAATGGCTACAAAAAAAAGAAATGAAAATCGGTTGTCTAAGGAGTAAATGAGACAGCTGATATGTCTTTGCTTAGTTATACCTAGATTTATCTTAATCCTTCAGGAGCAGCATTATCAACAGGATCTAGTTGAGTTTGAACACGAGAAGCAAGTCGCCGAAATGGGAGGGAAATCTACACCCGAAAAGGTCAGTAATTGTTATTGAAATGAGTAATGTCCGTATCAGCGGTATCGTGGCTCGTACGTACTCGAGTAAGAACACAGGTTCGATATTAGGATAACTAGGTTTCATTTATTTTTCTCAGAGTTAAATGTAATGTAATGTAAATAGGTAGAAATAAATAGGATTGTATTTCAAGTGCATAGGGCAGAGATGCGAATGTTGAGATGGATGTGTGGAGTGACAAGAATGGACAAGATAAAGAATGAGTATATCAGAGGAAATGTGAAAGTAGCCCTGGTAATCAACAGATTAAAGAGCGGACGGTTAGCGTGGCATGGGCATGTGATGCGTAGAGAGGAGATGCATGTGACTAGGAGTGTGTGAATGATGATATGAGAGAGAGAGAGGAGTGAGTGTTAAGATGACGGCTGATAGAAGAGAATGTATTAGAAAAAATAGCTGTGCCGACCCCACCTAGTGGGATAAGGTGGAGAAAAAGAAGAGAGTGTTTCAACTGCTTGTTTTTCTGTGAGTTTAAACAAAATTTAAAAACAATATATTATTACTCATTCATATATTTTCATGAATTTTCAATATATATAAAAAAAAAGAAATAAGAAGTCTGTGATGCAATTTTGACGAAGCATGTTGCTGATAACTCTATTTCTGTAATCTGACGAAGCGTGTTGTGGATAATAACCATGTACTTTTAGGTTATTAAAATAATATTTTGTGAATTAATAAAAGTTTAAAGTATTGTAAAGTGAGTTGCAAATAAACCTTACACATACATACAATTATTATTTTAATTTTATTTTAGGTGTTAGATATAGTTCACGCCGTCGAGAGTATGGCGATGGAGCCCGTTCCGTCTCATTCGCCGGAACCGCAGCACAAGACGACCACGGTGGTCATGTCCAAACACACCCTCCAACCTCAGGTTAGTTCTCGACAAACCAAACGGGCTTTATTATAAAAGTAATTCGTAAGCTAACTACAGTACATATAAAGTAGGACGTCTTGTGAGTCTGCACGGGTAGGTACCACCACCCTGCCTATTCCTGCCGTGAAGCAGTAATGCGTTTCGGTTTGAAGGGCGGGGCAGCCGTTGTACTGTTAATAGTGAGACCTAACAACTCATGTCTCAAGGTGGGTGGTGGCGTTGTAGATGTCTATGGACTCCGGTAACCACTTAACACCAGGTGGGTTGTGAGCTCGTCAAGCCATCAAAGCAATAAAAAAGTGGCTAGGTCGTGCCAGATGATTAGCCTATTGCTAGTTCATTCAGCCAGAGGTCTTACATATTTTTATTAGTTTCAAAAATCTCATTTTAAAACACAATTGTCTTATTTGAATGAAAATAACAAAAAGAACATATTCGGGTATTTTCAAAATTTTCAAATAACCAATTTACTATCCTATCGCCTCTAAATAAAGGATAACTTTGAAAACCAAATTTCATACAGTGAAAGCCGAAAACAATCTTAATTAATATTATGTGCATGTACTTTTTAAGTATATTTGTGAACGATTAATACTATTTTCAGAAAATATTTGCTTTATATTTTTACAAATATTAAAGCATGAAGTTATTGTAATATATTTTTGAGTTTTATATTTGCACCTTTAAATGAATAGCCCTTAATTTGTTAGGGTCAGCATGCACTTTACCCTATTTGTAGTTTAGACTTGTTGCTTGCATGAAAATATGCGTAAATTATTTGTAATATAGTCGAATTTAAATATTATGCTCTATTTTAATATAAGTAATCTCTTAACACTATCTTCCAAAATAAATGTTGTTTAGTATATTGGAGACTTAGCCTTATATATAGTTGGATTGTATGGATTGGGCGGGTGGCACTTTAATGAGACCTTTTCCGAACACTTGTCTGTTTTCAATGTTCTATGAATATCTTACATACATATGTAACAACGAATACGAGAACAGCGTTTGCATGAATCCTAAATTTGTTTATGTTTTATCCTGCCGAAGGTCGTGACTTGAACTGTCGTAGGAAATTATTTTTTAGTGTTTAGAAGTAAATAAATGTTATTTTAGCTTGTTTCTATGTCGTCAAGTGTCAGCTTCTTGTGACGGATAAATTCCATCCTAACACAGCGAAGGGATTCTAAACATTTTATAATGACAATAAAAATTACGTCCATTGCAGAATTCTAATCCAGAGGAAAAGGAAGGAAACATTTAGTGTTACTACATTAACAGTCTGTCCACGTTTAGTGTAAATAATATTCATTAAATTAAGTAAAACCTATAACTTGTCCAATTAGCGTCATGTGTGATGTCTACGTCGGCCCTTTTTGTGTATAAGGTCATGTTCGGGGTATCCATTTTATATTATCGATGTGAAATTTATTTGTAACTAATTTACAAAATAGTAATTTTATTAATTTAATACTTAAATATATTATTTTATGGTTTAATGTCGTGTTTATTTTCGCGTTATATTATTTTGGTTTCATAAGCTTCGACGTTCTTTTACGAGATAAATGGAAATCCTGAACAAAGTTGTTGGTTTCACGTAATCCTGTTTTATATAAACTTCAATTGTACAAGGTAAATAATAGAAATCATCATAGTAGTAATGACCACGGATTTTTTTCCCAGATTTTTTTTGTTATGATGATTGTATATCGTTTATTTGTTCGCTGATAACAAATAAACTTGTATGAAATCGATTAAATGGTTTTCACGTGTAAAAGATCTGAACAAGTAATAACCTTTTCTTAATTCAAAACGTGTTATTATTCAAATTTATTCTGCAATTTTTCAAATTACTATTATTTATCTAGACACGCATACAATGATTAATCTATACATTATTTATATAACATAATATTGTGAACCATTGTGTTTAAATCACATAAATAATAGTATTATCCCATGTTTTTCATGTAAATACAACATAGTATACACACTTTATTATATTTATACAATTAACTAATTCCATTTATTTTAAGGAAAAAGGGTGCATACATAGAAAAAATCCAAGAAAAAATATTTAAAAGTAGTCATTTCTACCTTGTACTGTTAACGTCATTAGATAAATTAGAAAACAAAAACACTTTTCTAAAATACCTACATGTAAATTATAGTACAAAAAGTAATCGATCTTACTGATTGACCAAACAGTAGAATGATGATGCAATAGTTTCTGAGAACTTTTACATATTTAATCTGAAACTGTCTGTTTGTAGTGTTTTGTACCTACTTGTGACGACTGTACAATGATGACTTCATTGCAGGAGACCAATTTTGTAGAGAAATAAAAATAAAACAAAACGCCTCCATCGGTTTTACTTGGATATTTCGCTTTCATAACATTTCATTCGCCGCTTTTTAAATTTACAAGCGTAAATATCAATGATTTTGTATTCGTTAATGAAATATGTATGTTTCATAAAATTTATCCTAGGAATCATTTTACAGTTTAGCTACAATAACTTGTGTGCAATTACATTACAAAAATACGTAGGTAATAAATAATATATTATATATTTGGCCAAAAAACAGTTACTGCCAATTTATTTAAGGAAAACTGTCCCTTATATTTCTTTTAATTATAAATATACAATATAATCTGCGTTAAAAATATCTTTTAATAATAAAATATTATGATGTTAATGAAAAAGTTTTGTTATTTAATTTTAATTTTGGCATATTTTGCGTGACATTTATTTTGGAAGATTTTTGTTATTCGCTATTTGCTATAAAAAATATAATTTTGAATAATTATTAATTTATACTCCTGTTTTTGTGCAAGAAGCTTCGCCACAGTCAAACGACACGTTCAGATCCAGAGGACGTGTGTATTCTGTAATTATATGGTAATCGTTACGTTAGCGTAAAGAATGGCACAAGTTGATGAAGTGCGTTATGTTGGTTTTGGTCAGACGTCTAGTTCGCAAGCGGCGCCTTCGTCTCCGTTACCCGTGTCGATACAACAGAAGGTGCGCAGCCCCGCGACCCCGACCTCGCCGCTAGAGCCCGCCCTCCAGCGTCCGCTACAGCCGCCGCCGCCTCCCCCGGTCAAACAGAAACCTCAAGTTCCCCGAAAACCGCAAACGAAGCGAGTTAGTTTCATCTCGGACCCTCGAGAAGATTCGATGAACAACAACTCATTCCATTTAGAATCGCATGCAGAGCATGATACGGATCGAACGGAGACCGCTACCGACCTTAACGATGCATGCGAGGGAGTCGGCTCCTTACTAATCCGAAATAAATCACTAAAAACAGATACGAAGGTATCGAAACCCGTGTCGAGAGCGAGTTTAATACTCCCCGATGACCTCATAATACCGCCTCCGCCGCTGTTCGACAGCTACGTAAGTGACGCTTCGCCAAATACGTTCCGACAAACAGAATCTACTGACCCAGGCCCTCCACTCCTAACCATTGTCCCAGAACGCTTAGTCTTACCAGGGCCCGTTGTGGCTGAAACATCCATGCAGTCTTCGAACTCTTCAGCCTCTTCTGTAATAGAAGGTCCTCCCCCGATCAATTACGGTGCGTTTCCCAAAGTAATAGAAACCTCTACTATTGCTGAAGTACCGACTCGATCATCAATCGTTTCGGAAGTGCCCGCGTATCAAGTTTTTCGAACGAAAGAACTGGCACGTGCGGACAGCGATAATGTGTTTCATAAAGAATTATCTGTCAGTTCGACTGGAGAGCCTGACCCCCCTGCACTATTACAAGCTCGATATAAAACATTACCATCCGTATCACACGTTCCGAATTCTCCTTGTAGTTTGCATCCAGACAAAACGTACTTTGATGATGACACAGAACAACCCTTACATCAATCCTTAAGAGATCTTAGATGTCAAAACTTTTCACCAGTAATGGCACATTCGAACACATACCCCGCTATCAACCCATACCCTTCTTTGACCACAGTTGCTGGAACTTACAACCCCTACACATCTCCTGTACCGGTAGGTACTCCCCACCGGACCAGTTCTTATAGACCCGCTATTAGTCGTGACGTGAGTCCGTTAAGCACGGATATCAATGCGAATGTGACTCGAACTATGTCCGCTAGCAGTGACGGATCTAAAAGTGTACAGTCAGAGAGAAGAGTCCGATTTGACGAAGTAACGACGGCAACGGAATACGATAGATTGTCGAACAGCTCAGAGTCTTTGAGGGAAGGGGTCTCCTCGCCCGCGACCGCCCTGAAACCCGCATGGAGCAGCAAAATCAAAGCCTTTGCCATCGGCGAGGTAATCATCAATCAAGGATTCTTACCCTCGCACAAAAACACTCAGCTTCTTTTGGTTGTGTTCGTCGTCAAACAAACTGATTATACATGACAAACAAATTCACACCACATGTCGTCCCTCCATACTTCAATTTTTTTTGTTATTGTGCCGATCAAATGTTTTTGTTGAACTGCATTTACTTATGTTTTGCATGTTTATATAATTTTACTAACGGAAACATATTTTTATTTAATTATTATTTTTCATATTAACAACTACTGACTGCATGGTTGTTACGCCTGGAGGAAGGGGTTTATGATGGCTTGTAAATATAACTATCATTACGCTTTTTAATCATTATTTTTATATGTTCACTTAAAAAATAAATAAACGTTATCAATAATAAATATAATAAGAGATTCAATTTGCATTTTTAGGCTTCCCCACCTCATTCTGGTAATTTTGTGAAAGCATCTGTTAGTGATAAGAAGAGGTTCTTTGAGAACGCCATGGAAGAGAGCCACAAACCGTCACCTAAACCAGGTAATTCTTAAAATAAAATATATAAGATGTCAGCTAGCGCGGCAGACGTAGTCCTGCCCTGAAAAATAACTAGAACCCGATTGCAATATCTGCAAGTAAACTATGCAGAAACCCATTCAAACATGCATAAAAAACATCAAAATCAGTCCAGACTTTTAGGAATATAGTCACACTTAACTTACAAAATAAACTTACAAAATAAATATGTGTATAAAAATAAACTTAAAACAGTTTGAATTCGATCTTCCTCCAGTGTTGTAAGAAGGTCCAAAATTCCTATTACGAAACTAACAACTACCTGACGTCGCTTTTGTCATATGTACCGAATAATTATTTTGTTTCAGAGAGAGTATTCACATTCCTCTCAGCAGATGAGGTGGAGAAATTGAAGCAAGAAGAGGAAAGGAAGATGGCTTCGTTATCTCGGAGTGAGCTCGGCTCCTGGTCCCCCGGGGAGGACCGGCACAGCGGATACAGTAGCCACTCCGACGATGAACTATATGAGAACGGACATGCGTAAGTATTTTAATGAAGTTTTTCTAAATATATGTTCTAAGCAAAACACTGAAAAGGTCTACTATCGTTGGGTCTATATCTGGCTTTGACATGAACTGTATGCTTAGTGCGAGTTTTTTAACATTCTCGATAGCGTAAAAGTTAACTCAAAGTATGGAGTTGGAATGTTTGCCTACGTTTGCCGCTAGGGGCGCTGTTCCAACTGCATACAAATTTGGGTTAACTTTTACGCTATCGAAAACGTTAATTCGCACTAAGCACACTGCCCTCTACGAAGTTTCCAGAACGCTATAATATATCAGTCTTCAAACGATGTTTGAGGAGACTACTCAACAGTGGGCAGCGACTTTGCTGTAACTATAATCTGATATATTGTTATGAAAATCTTCTGATCATTACCATTTTTGTTTTTGTTTTTTATTGCTTAGATGTGTGGACGAGCTCACAGCCCATCTGGTGTTAAGTGGTTACTGGAGCCCATAGACATCTACAACGTAAATGCGCCTCCCACCTTGAGATATAAGTTCTAAGGTCTCAAGTATAGTTACAACGGCTGCCCCACCCTTCAAACCGAAACGCATTACTGCTTCACGGCAGAAATAGGGAGGGTGGTGGTACCTACCAGCGCGAACTCAGAAGAGGTTCTACCACCAGTAAAAAATGCCATATGACAGTTTCAATATTTCCAGTAGATCAGGCGGCGTGAGTCCCTCCGCGAAGTCTCAGCGGCGTCGCGAGGCCCGGCCGGGAGCCGCGCCCGAGGACAGCGCCGCCCGCGCCGCCCGGCGTGCGGCCTGGCGCGCGGCGCGACTTCGCTCGCTCGAACAGGTTCTTACCGCATAACTCATAGTTACTAATATAGGCTCGCCAATAACTACCTACTACTAACAGCTTCAGCAAAAGATCTCGCGGACGATCTCCAACACGATGGACCGACCTCATAAAATCGGTGACTCACTCCAACATAAATGATCACTCTACGAAACATCGTGTCATATGGCGTCGCGGTATCCCAGGATCCGACTGATGCATAACCACGACCACTCTGACAAGAGTGTACGACTAGAAAAAGAAGAACTAACAGCTTCGATTTGAAGGGTGGAACAGCTGTTGTATTACAAAGTTGTATTACACATTACAATTAAGATTTTGATCTCATGTTTCAAAGTGAATAGTAGTATTCACCTTGTATAATGTAATGCTTATTGACTCTGGTAGCCAGTTAACGCCGGATGGGCAAACAGATTATTAGTCCATATATGTAATAACGATTCATTATTAGCACGCTCGAGTTGGCGCGGTACCAGAACTACTAAACTAGAACAATTGTTGTAATAGACACGAAACTTGGCTCCTACAAGCCGTTTTAAATTTTTTAAACATTACCTGGTATTTGCTTTTTACAATTAACTAATTAACAAAAATATTAAAACTAAATTAGGTCCAAAAGAATAAAAAACTCTCAGAACATTTCCTTTTCAATCTACTACTATGTTGAGGGGTGAAGTTTAAGGGACTTTTTTTTTTGGCAACTTTACAGAATATCCATTTATACTTTAAAATATAGAAAAAAAAACGTAACAAAAAAACTTCTTCAGTTATTTGAATGGAATGCAGTTAATAATTGAAGTTCAATTAAAAACATCGAACTGTTGATGCTAATACCAAATAAAACGCACCTTTAATTATTACAAAGATGTCTCTTAAACCGAATAGCGTTTCATCCCTTTTTTACTGGTGGTAGACCTCTTGTTAGTTCGCACGGGTAGGTACCACCACTCTGCGTATTTCTGCCGTGAAGCAGTAATGCGTTTCCGTTTGAAGGTTGGGGCAGCCGTTGTAACTATACTTGAGACTTTAGACCTTATATCTCAAGGTGGGTGGCGCATCTACGTTGTCCAGTAACCACTTAACACCAGGTGGGCTCTGAGCTCGTCCTCCCACATGAGCAATAAAAATAATAATAATAATAATATCTGGAAGTAGTGTGTATGTAAACATTATAATTTTACAGGAGGCTCTTGAATCACAGAAAGTCATAAAGAGCATGGTGGGTCCCGCGACTGAAATTATCGGTGAGATCCCGCCGAGAGACAAATCCCCGACAGAGGTATTTCATTTTGTACTCTACGCTGTTCCATTGAACCATACTAATTAATGCATTGTTGCATTGTGTCTCAATAACCCGGCTAAATAAAGAATGTCTGTTAACACCGTTATATTTGTAATTTAACTTATTAAATTTGTTTGTTACCGTAAACGTAATTAACTGGAATGTCTGTCACGGTGACATCCGTGAACCTGATATTTAATGAAATTAAAACTTCTGACGCTACACAATAATAATTAGAGTCACACGACGTGGTAACAAAACGACTAAAACTAACAATAATAATTTGGTATGTCTGTTTTGGGCGGGTCTCGATGTCGCTTCGCTGGCGTATTGTTTCGTTCCCCGCTGCCGTGTGAATGTCAATATTGGCTTTGAAATATTATTATAGAACTGGCCCCTGCCACGTATCGCGTTACGAACTAAACCGGGCCCTATACTGGCCGTCAAGGAGAAGGAAAAATTGTTAGACGAGCGCATAACCCTACGCACCGAGGAATACGTGTGCCCGGCGACCGGCGAGACTAAAGTGCACACCGTCGAGTACATTGAGAAAGTCATTGAGAAAGAGGTACGCGTTAGAGCAAGCAATGTACAGTAGGCGCGCGAGTTCATGTCCATCCTGAGGAATGCGGTAGTGCTGTGACTTAATTAATTATGGTAATGTCGATAATAACTACCGATTTAGTCAACAGCGGTCAATTTGGTTTATGTAACTTAAGGTAATTTTGCAATTTATGAAAAATATAAATGTGATAAGTAATTACTTGTTTATTTCTAAAAGAGAAAAATTTTTTTTTTGAAATTCCAATTCAATCACTATCAAATGAAAAGACAACCGACAGATCAGAGTCGGAATTTGTATGTATCCTTTTTTCGGTAAGTTTTTTTTCTACCGGAGCTTGTTGAAAGCGTCGTATTCATAGTTAAACAACACAATAGCGTTAGCGTAAATTATCGATATCGATAAGCGCGCGTCACAACCGTCAAGGACAACACTCGACGTCAGAAAAATGCGGGGAGGCGGGCGAAGGTGGGGCGAGCTGTCCCTCGCGTGTCGCCTCTGGCCCCGATGGACATGATCTCGCGCGCACACAGTACGTTGCGCTGCGTGCTGTACATTGCGCTCTGAGCTGTACACAGCGCCCGTGTCTTATCGGACCTACGTTTGTACATCTGCAAAACGCTTCGCTTTCAAATGCAATTCTATTTGCGACCTTGACCTTGACGATACGGACTCTGATGCATCATTGACTTCCACAAAACGTTCTAAACGACATTGACGATTGACGTGTATATTGTAATTTATGCCGCGGGGTATTCTGAGCGCACATGGCACACCCAAACAAAACGATGTAGATAGAAAATTACTACACATTTATAATTTAAATATAACAATATATGTATAACCAAATAGCTTGTATTGTTTGTTGTATATATTAATATATCTAATTAGAACACAAAACTGATGCAAATATAAAGTATGTTTAATAAGGAATACTCCTCTCACTGAATTATCTACACGAGAGCTGCATGAATCTCAGCATGGCATGTTTAATTATTGTGTATTATTTGTATTTGTCAGACGATTCCGGGATTCTAGACACCGTAATCATCGGCAACGACAACGGTTTGTTCCGTTTATATTACGCATAATGTTTGTTGTACGGGGACCTAACAAGAGTTCGGAGGACAAAATGACTCATTGAGATTACGAATATAAACTTTCGTCTGTATGTTTCTAGTTCCTACTGTTTGTGTATGTTTGTATCGATTGTCATTTTCTCTATCGGACTCAAATAGCTGAAATACGGACTCAAACATGGCAGCCGTTTAATTCGAAAGAAACACAAACAAAATGTGACTTAATTAAATATTCATTTGAAATTTGTCTAATTGTCTTTTATAATAACCGTATTTCAGCTTCGAATATTTTACAGCTTATTGCATTTCCTGCAAATTCCTAATATTGTAATCGTTGTTTTAATTTTCGCATGAAACATTTCTTCATCGTAGTTTCATTTAATTTAGAATGGTTAAAATACAGTTTCAATGGAGCAGTTTTGATTAAAAAAAATTATTGCTTAGATGGATGTACGAACTCTGCTTATCTAGTGTTAAGTGGTTACCGGAGCTAACAGGTACATAATAAGGTGCAATGTAGGTACAAGGTAGATACATGCCGCCACCCACCTTAAAACATGAGTTAGAAATCTAAATTTTATAGTACATTACTGCTTCATGGTAGCAATATACAACCAACCTACCTATTGCATTGCAGGAAATCTTATGTACAAACTACCCGCACATACTTACAACTTCTTATCCTTAAGCATTCATACAATATTTCGACGCAGACACGAAACTCATTCAATACTCTTTTAATTAAATACGTACATATAAATTTTATTATATACGAAAACCGTAAGATATTCGAAATTCATATTGGACTAAGAAATAAAGATTAGAATAACGAGATCGAAACACGAAACTGTATTTTAACTACATAATATGTCTAACGATAGTTGAAAACCTAATCAAGTCATTATAAAAAAAACCTTAATGCTTTAATTAAAAGGTTTGGAATGCTGTTTTTCATTTAAACGACGAGATGTAGTAGAAAACGAATTGAATTTCGATTCCATACAAACTCATGTAAATCGCAAAACATTTTCACGGCGCTTTAATTAATTAAAAAAAAAAACGAAACGATTTTTTTTTACAAATCCAGGTGGAAACTACGCAAGAGAAGATAATATCTTTGGAACTGACAACGAGTCCTGTAAGCGAGACGGCTCCGTGCGGGCTGGGGGAGGGCGACTGCAGCCTTGGGGCGGAGGAGGGCTCGCTGCAACCGGACATCGTGCAGGTCGTTAACCCGCTGTTAGACGGGGGCGCCGGCCGCGTCACCGCCATTCCCGTCGGGCCCGACGTCCGCCTCACTTACACGGACGCCGCGCAGTGAGACGACCGCCGCTGTGTACTCGGCGTGAGCTTTTTAACGTTCTCAATAGCGTAAACGTTATCTCAAATTGTGGAGAGTATTAAGCGATAGGCAGCGGCTTGTCTCTGCCCCTGGCATTGCTGATGTCCATGGGCGATGGTAATAACTCACCATCAGGTGAGTCTTGTGCTCGTCTGCCTAGAAGGGCAATAAAAAAAAATGCAGTTGGAACAGCGCCCCTAGCGGCAAACGTTCCATTTACATACAAATTTTAGTAAACTATATAACTAAAAGTTAACTTAAATTTGTATTGAGTTGGGAGGTTTGCCTACGTTTACCGCTAGGGGCGCTGTTCCAACTACGCACAAATTTGACTTTTACGCTATCGAGAACGTTAAAAAACTCGCACTAAGCACACTGTTAGTCTCATCTGGGACTTCGATCTCGTGTCTCCACGGTGGGCTGCCGTAAATGCCAAGATAATAAAAATCTCCGCTCTGCATACAGGACGAACCCATGACAGAACACAACCGCTCGCTACGACACTAAATATTTTAATACGCGTACACACGACCGATTCGATCCGATTGTAGATTTCTTCGACGTAACGAGTTATAAAGATGTAAAAAAAAAAAAAAAATTCCATCATTATTTTTGTATTGCAACTGTGATAATAAACTTACGAATTCCACCGATTTTTATTCTATTGAGTTTTGAAGAAATCGACCAACGATACGTGTTTCTAATAGCATTTTGACTTATCACAATTTTTTTTTTTTTTAATAATTTTATGTAACATTGATTTCGCGACGGAGATTTTATTTTAATTAAAATAAATAGGTGTTATACTATTTTGGTATTATTATTATTATAATAATTATAATATATTCTTGAATACTTTACGTATTTAATTGTAATCACTTTCATTCCGTTCAAGTTATTGGTATGTGACTGAATGTTTAATGTACCTGGATAGGAAACAAATGATGTAACTAGAAATGATAATTATATGGGGAACGTCAAATAAATGTAAATAACATCAAAAATACAGTATTCATTATTTGTAACAATTTGTTTTAATAAGTTGGCATCACACAGACGACCAATCATAGAAGTATACAATTAGATAATCTTTAAAAAATCATTTATGTATGAATTTCAACAGTATTTATTTTCATATATTATTTTTATGTTACGCGTATTTTAGTTATGTGGTGCCTTTTATTCTCAAATGAGATTTTTTATAATTTATAAATTGTCACTTTGATTTCATTTAAACATAATTTTGATTTAATTAATTTTATACAATACGATATTATGTATTTTTTCCTATACATAGTTTAAGGTAATGTGTGCATTTGAATATAAAGTCTGCCAATGTATTAATTATCTTGCAGTATATTTAAATTTAATTAAATTATTATGCAAACGTTTGTTACAAAAGATTCCGTAAGAATCGATATATTATTCGAAAATTTGTATTTGATATATTTAAATTAATTTGTAATGTACTTTTGGCATGTTCAACGAGTGTTTCATAAATGTGTGTCCTTGATACCTTTTAAGGTTTTTAGCGAGTAAATACGTGCATTGTAAACTAATGAAATTATTGTATGTTTGTCCCAACTAAATGGTTTAATATATATTTTAATAAAATTAATAACTTTTCATTTTATTTCGAATTCATCATTTATCGTTTAACATTTTACTATCAACAAACATGTAACGTATGATAAAATTTACATTTCATTAATTATTAATAAAAGAACTTAAAAGTATTAAAACTATTAACAGTTTAATTTTTGACGGGTAGTTACTTCTTGGGTGCTATAATTCCTTCCAGTTGCGCCTGAAAATGGGAAAAAATAATTTAAATATCAAAATAATCATTTAATTTGATCTTCAATGGCAATATCCGTGGCAATGCCCATAGTAACCTCAAACGATTAGGCGAGTCATAGGCTTTTTTTTTTGGTCAGGAGGAAATCGCCGGACTCCTACCCTCCACTGGGGATAGCGGGCGGGGTATGTCGGAGTCGAACCGACTAAAACCTCCTGTCGCTCAACAACCCACGTCCGAGCCTCGCATGAGACAGAACTCATGAAAAGGCAAAGGGGGGAGAGTGAAGCGTTTAGTGCGGAGCACATCGCTCCCATCACCCTCCCCCTCGGAACACAGGACCGGCGGTCGTCGGAGTCATAGGCTTGCCTGCTTTTTATGGCACTAAAGCTTTAACTTACTTTCAACTGAGCGTTAGTTTTCTTCAAAGCTAACAATTCCTCTTGATGTCGTTTCTCTTCAGCGGCCCTAAGTTCCGCGGCCCGTCTCTCCAACTGTTCCGTTTTCTGCTTTAACTCCATACATTGCTTCTCCAAGGTCGACCGTTCCGCTTCTAACTTAGCCACTTGGTCCATGAGATCTGATTTCCCTTGTTCCGACTATAAAATATAAATAATTTTTTTTTTCTTTATAGCTTAGATGGATGGAAAGTTCACAGTCCACCTGGTGTTAAGTGGTTACTGGAACCCATAGACATCTACAACGTAAATGCGCCACCCACCTTGAGATATAAATTCCAATGTCTCAGTATAGTTACAACGGCTGCACCACCCTTCAAACCGAAACCCGTTACTGCTTCACGGCAGAAATAGGCGGGGGGTGGTGATACCTACCCGTGCGGATTCCCAAGAGGTCCTACCACCAATAAAATATATGACAATTATATATGTAAAAGAAGCAAAGCTCAACGCAAACGTGCGGTAGCTTACCGCTGAAGGCTCCTCAAATTAAATTTCGAGGTAAACGTGTGATGGCATTCAGAAATCATCGTGAGTGGAGCTCGTTCCGGACTAAGTAATTTCACACATACGCTGTCTTTATTATAATTCGGAAGTCATCGCGACATCGACAGTTGGTCTGTGGATTTCAGTAATCACTTAACATCTGGTGGGCCGGTAGCTTGTTCACACGTCGAAGCAATTAAAAAAAGATCCTGAGACCTCACAATCTGAAGGCAATGATAAAAAACAACATTAGGTGGCGGTTACACTCTTCACAATTTACGATGACCTTCGAATTACGATTCAAAGTTGACTGTTAAAAGGCGCGAGAGAGGTGAAAAATAACTGATATATTCTATATATTTTGTAATTATTTTTTTCGTATTTCCATAATGTTTTAATTATTCAGCAGTCAATCTAGTAAATCGTAATTTAAATGAACCTCACCTGTAGAGCTTTTCTCATACCGAACGCGATAGAACTGCAATATAAGGTCTGGTAAGCTTCCATAGTGATTCGTGCCTCATCCCGCACCCTCAGCAGAAGTAGTCCTCTTTCCCCACAGTTTATCGTTACCTTCGAAATGAAAATTCAAGCCTACTTTCAATAACAAAAACACGATTTCTTTGGATTATTTCAACGTATTTTGAAATGTATATTAAGAAGAGATTCTTAAGAAAATTTCACGCTATTTGAAAGAAACTACCTGTCTGATAAGTTCATCAAAACATTGGGTGTACAATTGTCTTCGAACTGGACATATACCGGTTTCTCTGGCTTGTCTCTGCTGCAGACGAGTATCGAGCATTTCTTGCAGGTTTATCACGTCCAAACGGGTCGCCGGAGTAGAAGAAATCTACAATATAACGGTAACAAATGAACTTTAATATTTTTATCCATTTAATTAGTGAATACTCCGTTCTTGGTGGTACTGGTTGTAGGACCTCTTGTGAGTCCGCACGGGTAGGTACCACCGCCCTGACCATTTCTGCCGTGAAGCAGTAATGCGTTTCGGTTTGAAAGGTTGTATAAGTAGATCTTAGAACTTATAAGAATATTATATTTATTATTATATTTAAAAAACTCTCCACGAGACAGGCAGTGCCTAGTGTGGAGAGTTTTTAGCAAACTGTTATGTGTAAATGTATCAAGGTTAATAAATAAATTATTATTATTATTATTATATATTTTAGTTATATCTCAAGGTGGGTGGCGCATTTACGTTATAGATGTGTATGGGCTCCAGTAACCACTTAACACTAGGTGGGCTGTGAGCTCGCCAACCATCTAAAAACTAAACCTCAGAACCATTGAAACGTTCTACAAACGATCATTAAGTGTTTTCTGTGTAGCGCCCTTTCTGTCTTCTTGGCGTGCCCGGGGCCTACTGGTGGTATCAACAGTTTACCATAAATTGGGCCGTCAAGTTCAAGTCTGTCTGTCTTTATTTTACAGCTGCAAATTGTAGTACCTTTTGTGTCCATATTTGTCCATCTTCCTCCCATTCTTTCGGGGGTAAAATAGCATTTAAGATCTCTTCAGTTTCTTTCTTTGCTTCGGTGGGTACGCACGGTTGTGTTGAAGCGCCAGCTCTCGGGGAAGGCTGTGTAAAACATTTTTATTATAAAATGAACATTATTTTTTTATTAACGAAGATCCTTTGATAAATCAAAAATCTTACAACTTTTTCCTGTCTTTTAGTCACCAACACTGGGTTGTCGTAACGGACTAACGTCTCTTCTGCAGATACCGGTGCCCGTTCTCCCATTTCCGTTTGTTTTTGTTGCAAAATACCTATTTGACTTTTTGAGAAGTCACGGTTATCGTGGCAGTAATCAAATTAAAACGTAGTGATTCTAAAATTCTCTCTGACAAATTGTCAAGCAAAATGTTATTTCCATAGCAACGGCTCTTAGCATCTGCCTAGTATTTTATACTTTTTTAATAATCTTTATAACCTACTAGTACTGGTGGTAGGACTCTTGTGAGTCCGCGCGGGTGTGTACCACCACCCTGCCTATTTCTGCCGTGAAGCAGTAATGCGTTTCGGTTTGAAGGCTGGGGCAGCCGTTGTAACTATACGTAGATCTTAGAGCTTAAATCACAAGGCGGGTGGCGCATTTATGTTGTTGATGTCTATGGGCTCCAGTAACCACTTAACACCAGGTGGGCTGTGAGCTCGTCCACCCACCTAAGCAATAAAAAAACCTAGTAACCTTACGTTTCCCTAGTAAAAAGTGTATCTTATTTAATGTGATATAAGTATAAAAACTGCTATATTATGGACGACTGCATCGGTCTTCCAAACGAAGATGTACATACCTACGTTATCAATGCTTGCGCGGATGACATTGTGGGGTATTTATTTTAAAAAACCTACGTCCTTAGCGATAGCTAGGCCATAGATAAGACATTTAAAATGGGAGCTACTCTTCTCAAAGCACTTGTTGGCCATAGAATAGACTACAGCGAAGCTTGATATTATCAGGTCGACATAAGTGTCAATTTAATTTGTGTACATGTACGTGTTGGTGATAATAGAAATGAAACGGTTAATGACTTAGAATGAGCTCTGAAAAAGTAATCATAGCAATTAGGCTGCGAACCGTGTATCCAAATTACAACGAAGATCGTTCATAGTACACTGAGGGACTGCGAAACCAAATTTACCATGGAATGCAATACACATTACATGAACTTTCTGGTTGAAACGAATATAGATAAAGCCATAAGTTTTTGAAAGTCAGCTTAGACATTCACTTAGGCCACCACCAAGATATTTTCATAAAATCGAACATTGCGAGTTAACGAGCTATCAGGAATACCTAGTAATTTTTTTTATTGCTTAGTTGGATGACGAGCTCACAGCCCACCTGATGTTAAGTGGTTACTAGAGCCCATAGACATCAACAACGTAAATGCGCCACCCACCTTGTGATATAAGTCATATAAGTTCTAAGATCTACGTATAGTTACAACGGCTGCCCCACCTTTCAAACCGAAACGCATTACTGCTTCACGGCAGAAATACGCAGGGTGGTGGTACCTACCCGCGCGGACTCACAAGAGGACCTTCCACCAGTAATAAAATAAATGTTAAAGTACTAAATCCTAGGGGCAATAGTATCCGGACTAAGTTGTCTTAAAGCTCCAAACACTTATACAACTCCTATGAGTAGTATTAGTTGTAATATATTCCGGTGCTATCGGGCCTCGTGATCGTTGATATATTTTACCTACCCATTCGTTGGTAGCCTAAGGGGCTATTCCAGGAACGCGCGGACGTGTATGAGTTCACTGGCTCCACCTGAGAGAGTTTGCCAACACTGGCCCTGGCAAGAGCAATGTTTCGTTAAAACCTACAGGATCAGAATCGCAACCCACTGAGAAGAACTGACGAGAAACTGTTTGGGTTATGTCAACAGGCTAGTTCGCACTTCCAACTCTTAATCGCAGAGTTCGCGTGCATAGATATCGAAAAATAAATTTGGAGGTTAAATTTTTGTTCAAATATAACAAAACGATTATGTGGAATAAATTTTTTTATTATGTCATTTCTATGAGGATATTTAAATAACATTTGAATTAATTCTACAAATATTTTTTTCATAATAAACACAAGCATCAGTCTTTTTAACTTGTTGAGTTGCACTACACTTTTAATCAAAATGAAGTCCACGGTTTTTCTGTATTCATTGTGAATCACTACTTGAACTTGAACTGGAGTCTGTGGACATAACTTCAACATCTTCTTGGTTGGGAGCATCCTTCCCTCGGCCATCAATAGCTACAGAGTTACCGCCTCCAACAGACATGTGTAGCTCGCCTGATGGATGCCAAGTGAATTGGCTTGAAGCTGAAGCTGGTACTGAAATAATATAACACAGTAAACCTGATTAACAAGCAAATGGTTTTACATGTTTTTTTTACCTAATGCAATTAACAAAAGGGTAAAATGTTTCTGTAAAATTCTGATGATAAGAATATTCTTAAATAATTTCCATGGGTTATGGGTTTTGAAGGAAGCCTCTGTTGACAATATTAATAAAAAGAGGTGGCAATAACATAGGAGATTTTTTTTATTCTTTACAAATCCTATAGAAATTTGATCATTAATTCAACTTTCCTGAAAAATATTATTCTTGTATATTTGAGTTTAATACAGTGGTCCAAAACATGATATATCTGCCAAAGCACTTGCTGAGTAGTTTAGGTGTTTGGTGTTCCCTATCACCCACTTCTCTCATAGCTATTAATAACTATGATAATATATGCTTATTGTAGATGAATCAAATTAACTATAACGATAAAGTACCAATACTAGAATTGTATAAATATGTACTGCACAAAGAGTTCTATACATATGCAACTTGTTCTAAGAATGATTCATTAATATAATGAGTAATGCATTTATACCTCCACCAGTTGTTATACGATGAAGTTCATTCAGTGTAGAAGGCGTGTGACCATTCAATGGCAGATCACAGAGGCGACCGAGCATTCCTAATCTCATTTCTAAATCAGTTGGATAAGGCCGACGAGGATCACCAGGTTGCCACGACAAAGGTGCGCTGACAGCATTAGATGCACTTATTCTGTAAAATATCAGTAAGTCAAAAAAAGTTTTTTTAAGTACTATTTAGTTCTCACATCAAAAATAGTGTACTGTCTAATATTTAAAAATTCTTTTTAATGTAATTTAATTAAAGTGTAACTCTATAGTTATGAAAGAAACTGTTTTCTGTAGATAGTTATTTTCATAACATTGTTGGCTATTCAGACACAATACCTAATATCCATTCAGACTTTTTGCATTAATAAACTTAATCAACTGTTAATATACTAAACATCTCATTGATTTATTTGTTAGTCAATGTGCCTACTATCATTGTCTCACTGTTGTCATTGGTCAGGTTTGAAATCTCTGTTGAGATCATAAATATTTAATATTCAATATTTAGGAGTACTCATCATGTGTTTTAAGGACCTGACTCAGAAAAAATATTTAATTTCAATGTAGAAATCTTTAATTGTTTACTAACCTGTGTGCAAATTTGATCAACTCCTCAGAGGGTACAGGTCTCTTTCTAGACTTCACTATTGATGCAAGTTTCTGTCGAGCTTGATACAGTGATGTAGCCAGAATTTGTTCTGCATCTTTCAATTGTCTTTGAAGGTGATATATATCTTGATCCTTAGTAACACAACAAAAACATTTCAATTACATAATTCGCTTGTGGCTTAAATTGTTGTGAACTAGCAGTGGATGAGTCAGTCCACTCCAAAATTTTATCCATTTTTTACTTAAAATAAATCTCTTTTGTAGTATTTACCTTACTATCTACTTCAGCTTTGAGTTCATTCATTTTCTGTTGGATCTTTGCTTGTTCGTCAGCTAGGTCTAATGTTTTTTTCAATTCTCCATGTTTTGATAGAAGTAGGTCCGTCAACTGAGCATGATCTGCAGCGGACACTTTCTGTGGTTTTGGTGCTATGGAAACTTCTATTATTTCCCTGAAAATTTAAAGAATTAGAACATGAAGTTGATCGGTAATGTTTTCCACAGTTCAATCGTGTTTTAACTCACTTAGCAATAAGTTCGATATCATCTATTAGTGCCAATAAGCGATCTTTAGTACTTAAATGTGACGCCATAGCTCTATATAGCTTAACAGCTTTTTTTAATATAAACGATATGTATTATTTCCTTATATCATATGAACTGGACAAACGACCCCCCAACGCTGCGACTCTTGGGATTTCTTGTATCAAAAACGCTACTATGTACGTGGTAACTACATTCAATGTTTACAGTAAAAATAATAACATTGTTTGATGTTTCCAATACAGCAGACGACAAACGTGAAAGTCATAGACTATGTTCCACAGCAAGCACAGACTAATAATTAGTAGAGCCTTGAAATATTTTTCTCTATGATATAGAGAAACTTATTCTCGTACTTTTACAGTTTTTCTAGTTTTAAAGTGAGTTTCAGTATAATTTATATCTACAAACTTTGTTTTATAAGGCCGTAGCCTATTTACGTTATAAGAAATAAAATAAAATTTACTACTGGTAACGAGATGAGATGATTTACTTTTTCTTATGAAGATGGGTGAATGACCTCAAGGCCTATTAGTAGTTACCGGAGCTTAAAGACATCACAAAGTGATTGCTGCCCCCAACTTTAACTTCACTTTTCTATTTTACACTATAAAGTGTGTTCCACCCTTTAAATCAGAATGCATGATTACTTGGCGGCAGAAATACACAGTACGCTGGTACCTACCCATGTAGAGTATTGTAGAGTCTAGTTATTATGATATGATCTCTCAGTAAAATCGTGTTTATTTCCTGAGACGTTAATTGAAAGACTCCGAAAAACCACATGTAGCGATTTCGTTTCATTTTTCTACCCGTTGTGCACTTTCATGAATTTGAACATCGTTTGGTCATCATTCATCGTTCTCGTTGAACCCATCGCTTGCGACGAAGGCTCGGCTAGTAAAATAACCCACAAATAAAGCCCACTGAATTTCTCGCCGGATCTTTTCAGTGGGTCGCGTTTCCGATCCCGTGGTAGATTCTGCAAAGTATTGCTCTTGCTAGGGTTAGTGTTAGCAACGTCGTCAGGTTAGATCCCCGTGAGCTCACCTACTTAATAAGTTACACTGACATAGCTCTCAAGCTTAGATAAAAAAAAACCATTTCACAGGTTCAGAATATTTGTCAGAAGAAATACAATATTGGTGTAATAAAAATATTCTCAAAATAAAGGACATCTGATTCCATCAAAATTATTGAAACACTGCACAAAAAAAATTATTCTATTAATTATTAGACTTGCGAATACTGAAAAAGGATTGAAAGATTGTGATATTGATTGTTATGGTTTATTTATAATTCGTAATTATTGGCGGTATAGCGTAGGTTGTAGATACGTATCTACGACCAAGCTTCCTATTATTGCCACCTACCAGTTATTCGTTTCGGTATAAAGGGCAAGATAATAGACAAAACAGTTGAGACTTCGAATCCTTAATTCAATCAAAATGGATGGTTACTTACACGCTGTGATGCTCATATTATATCTTCCGATAATCAGTCAATACGGAGTTAAAGAATGGTGTTGTTAGGATGTCTTGTGAGTCCGCACGGGTAGGTACCACCATCCTGCCTATTGCTACCGTGAAGCAGTAATGCGCTTCGGTTTGAAGGGTGTGGCTGACGTTATACTGTTAAAACTGAGACCTTCAAACTCATGTCTCAAGGTGGGTGGTGGCATTTACGTTGTACATATCTATAGACTCCGGTAACCACTTAACACCGAGTGGGGCGTAAAGCTCGTCCAACCATCTAAGCAATAAAAAAATTATGTTAGATTGCATTTCACGAACTTGCAATAGGAGAACTTACAATGCAAAAGCAGACTTGCCTTGCACTCTCTCGAGATCATAAATTTCGGGCTTCAGTTGATTTATTGCTAGAGCTCCGTACAAAAAAATTTGCTAAAATTCATAAAAATAGATTCTCATTTTTAGTGCTATTGTGTTAGGAATTACTATCAATAACACCTGTCTTTATTTTCCCAACCGGTTCCAATACTCCTTACTTAATAAAGTTATTAATTATCCTTTACTTCATTTAAGAATATGTCAAATAAATACTCGTAATCATAACAGGGTTTATTTAGGAGTTTAAACCTCGCATAAGTGTTTTTATAAAAAATTGTACTACCGTTTGATTTAAACATTTGATTTTGGTACAGTTAGCAATAGACAGAAGGGTCTAAATACCGTCTATGCAAATATAAACTTAGTGGCAATCGGAAGTAATTTGAACCAACCTGGCTAAACTATTTTTTTTATCGATCCTCCGTAGTATTGTATGCTCATGACAGATTCATGTATAGCCCATTGAATTTGTTTCATTCGAACTTACTTTCAATGTAGCTTACGCAATAGATCTGTAGATGAATTCGACATAATACTTGAAATTATAATACAATATGTCAAAGAATTATATTATTATGTTGTTGTTTATGATGCATTTTAAAGAAACCTATGATTACACATCCTCGTATTAATTTATCAGTGTGCAAGTTAGCATTCGCAATTTCAAACCTGATGCAATTTCCAGTAAAACCTAATATGGTAAACAAAAGAACACTCTCTTGAATGCGTTTGCAAGTTCACAGAAACCGGCTTGAACACGCTGTGAACGCGTGATCAGCTGGTACAAGGGACGTGAGAGGGAGGAGGGGAAAGTTGCATTCGACGAAGCCTGAGGGGGGATTGAACACGCTATGAGCATGCGTACAGCACGTGCTCGTGGACATTTGTTAGTGTGCCATGGTAATTAAATATAAAGAAAATTAGAGTTTTACTGTACACATTGTAACGTGGATTGTGGTCATGAAAAGTTTTGTTTAAATGACAATAGTACAGAATTTGGTTCAAATTAAGAGTTTTGTCAGGTTTGGGAATATTATGGTCAGACTTATATTGAAATGAACGAAAACGTCAACAGTCATTAATTTCATATCAATGAGCTTGGACACCGACAACTAATTAAGCCCAAGCGGGTTGAAAGTTATTTTATCAACTTAGGGCAGGCCCACAGTAAAATTAAATGTATCACATATTATTAACACGGCAATAAAGACCCTATGAGCTGTAAAACCACAGTGTAAATTATATTAATATCAAGTGAACAAAATTCAAGAATCTTTAATTTCTATTTGTTTCGATGAATAGCAAGACAGATATTAAAGTATATTTATCATTATAAATTTAATTCATAAATACATCATTGAAACGAATAATAGTTTTTCTGATCTTTGAAAATTAATCATACCTTACTTACTGTATCATGATTAATCTGTGGCAAAGTTTCTATAGAATGGCGTCACACGGGGAATGAAGTGTGCGCGGGGAGGGAGAGCAGTACATTTGTGTAGCGAATAGCGATTCGATCGTCAGCTTGACTTCGAAGTGGAAGTACGTAACTGAGTAGTTCCAGTCCGAGTTTGGCAGTAGAGGTGAAATTGGCTCCTCTGCCAATCTAATGGAACAGCGCTTTTTTGAGCAAGTGTCGTCTGCGATCGTGTTAAACAAATCAAACATTCGCCATAAGCGCGACAATTGTCGTAAACAACAAATACTGTTACTACTATTATGTTGTTTAAACGGATCATTGAAGGAAAGTCCGTGTTGAATGCCGACACCAAGAATAAGGTTCCAGAGAGATGTTCTAGAAGAAAGTCGGAATGTGAAGGATGTGGTGAACATTCCACGTAAGTATACCTTCTTCATTAACGAAGATGGTATCTTAAGGTGTTATGAAATAGAATAATATTCAATTTCTATTTAATTTTACTTGAATTATTTATTAACCGGCGTACTCCGTTAGCAATGAAAATAAAATAGCACAGTTGAGAAGTAGGTAACTACGCTTCGCCTTATGCTCAAATTGGTCATCTACAACATTAAAATGCACAATTTAACTGCAAAAATGCATGAAATGTATTACAACACGCCTGCTATTTTTGGCCTCAACCATAATATTATTATAACGATCGGTGAATGTTCCTCGTGTTTTCTTATTTAAAAATGAATAATATTTGTACCTGATTTTTTACTGGGTGTATGAATTTTTGTAAGATATGGATTATACTTACCTAACTATATTTACCGTGAAGAAATCATGCGTTTTGGTTTCAAAGGTAGGTCAGCCGTTACACAATGAAATTTAAACTTCGACGATTAGGCATTGCTGTGTCCGTGGACTCTGGTGGTAACCATTTAACACCAGGTGGACCGTTCAATCCTCTATGCAATACAAAAAAACCTATGCAACTATATCTACGATATTGAGATTACGTTATATAAAATATTCTCACTACTATTTCGTAGTGCGCAAGGTCAAAAGGGAAAAAGATATTAACCTAATTACTAGTTTTGTAATACAGTAGGTACAAACAACATAACAATGTAGTGAGGAACGCGAGAATGTTATCATTATAATATTTCGTGAACTCAGTTAATGTTAGCATAACCAAAAGTAGCAAGTAGTTTTTTTCGTTTTTTAGACTGCATTATATTATACTTGTGTTCTACTGTTGTAGGCTAGAAAACCATTTAGTGAATAAAAACATAATTTAAAATTTACGCGGGAAAAATTACATTTAATAGAGTTTTATCTCAAAAGTTTTTTTTTTGTGATTAAAAAACGATGTGTTTGACAATATTTTAAACAAATGTAAACTCATTTCTGGTAATGTTAATTCAGTTTATGTTGTCCAAGCATTTATGAAATTAGCAAAATTATAATTTTTGATTGACTTCTTTGGCCCGCCTGATGGTGAGTGGTCGCCCATGAACGTCAGCAATACCAGGGTTACAGAAAAGAGGCCGTACACCCCATAGTACTCTTTTCGAATTTCATTTGAAGATCCTCAGTTTAGTTTAGAGTTAATGGTGCCCGGGAAAATATTATGTTTGGAATCGTATCGCGCAATGGTACCACGTACGGTCTTTGTACTAGTGAGGAATGGAGTATTAGTAAAATGGAGATGACGGGATATACAATTATTCACGCAGTTATTATATCTATAGAAAAAAAGTAAGAAATAAAAACATTAGTGGTTAAGTCGAAATAAATAAAAAATTAAGATTGGGCCAATCCAATGGGCTCCGTAATCAGAATGAAAATTCAAAGTTAAAATTCAAATTAAATCTGCATATTAACTTATTCAAAATATTTCTCGAATTTTTAAGCCGAATGTACAAAATTGTTGTGGGGCATAATGGGCTGCATGCAACTTTTGTCATGCAGTCATGTATTCAAAGGGCGGTAAAGCCATTGGACTTAAAAATTGAGTTTTCGACCTTTATGTCTAAATGCAGTAGGTAGTAATTGTTATAATGTCTAAAGGCTCTATAGCCCTGTGAGGATGGGCGTTTGTTCTGCCTATCTAAATTAAAAAAATAAGAAAAACTCCTACCCCTATCTTACTTCTTACCGCTAAGTAACGATTTGCACATTTACCCTTCATAAATATCTATAATCTCTAAGTGAAATGGCTTGTTTATGACCAGAAATGTTAATTCGAGAAAAAAATATACAGGTAATGCGTAACACGGAAACAAAAATACGAAGCTACAATAATATGTGTCTACGTAATACTCACATTCTTTGTCATAAAGGCATTGAATGTAAAATGTAGTATAAAAGTCACCAGAATAGTAAAATATTGTACATATTGCTAATTTTTGTGTCTGTAGAACACATATTATATTTCTATAGAAAGCTAATATTACATTTATAGCATTTAATCAAAGGTAAAATTGTAAAATCTAGTTAAATAGAAAAATCCCTAAGTTTTAGTTTTGTTTTTCACATTATTAATATGAGTAATAATCGACTTCCGTAAAATTAATGTGTGAACTTTTTGGTAAGAGTCAAATCGAGATTTTAATTCGGTCTCACACGTAGTTTAAAAGTATGTATATATTTTTTACTAAACACTTGAGCATTTGAAAACCAAGTTATATGCATGTTAAGCAGATGAAGAGTTAGTAACCCAACGCTCAAGTATAGGTTTACCATACGCGCAAAAACAGGTTTCTTTGCAATCAACATCTATTTTTATTTCATTCCCAGAAGGACTAGACTCGTCTTGAATTAGCAACTAGTTAGAGCTATTTGTTTAATAATCTTGATTTATAGTTATCTATATAAGTAAATTTTAAAAGTGATCTAATGTAAAAGTAAATCGGTGGTTTATTTTATCCATAAAACGATATATACTCATTATTTGTATGGCCTCTTTGTTATAATATAAATTGTATAATTGTAAACAAGCTCCAAGGAAAGCAAACTATTATTTTTTTAAAACTGTTCTTTATTCCATTGTTTAAATAACATTAGCGAGTGTACGTACATATACCTAATCATTCGGGTTGTAATAGACCATAATATTTCCTGTAAAATTGTAAACATGTTTACTTCATTTACTTAGTATTTCTCAGTACCGTTGGATTTACACTATAAAAATATAAATTGGCCGTAGATCGGGGGCGTGTCATTATTTGTTTGAGAAACTAATTGTTATTATATGACGAACCGCATTTATCAGTTAGTTCTTCGCGCGGGGTATCAAAAGGTCTTAATATGACGATATTACCCCAGTTGTGATCGCATACTCAATAAAACTGTGTGCCTCCTTATTTCTCTGTCAGTTCGATAATAAACATCCAACCTATCAGTGCTAGAAATAAATTTAATTAAAAATATAACAGATTAAATACCTTGTATGATATATTTCGTGGAAGTAAATAATTAAGTAGTGTTCATTGTGAATGAATGAGAATCTTTATTACAGTATTTTGGAAGAAATGACGAAGATGATAATGCTTGGTGTCGTGCTATGGCTAGGAGTCACTTTCGGTAGTCATGTGTCGCCGTATCCATTAAATTTGATTTTCATATCTGGTACGTATAAATTTAACCAGCAATTTTGTTATCCATTGTCGACTATGAATTAATTCGAAAATTTTCTTACAGACACAATACATCCGCCGCCAATGTATGATTTTCCATTTCCAAGTGCCGATATGCTAAAACGATTACCACATATTACGGCATCTCAGACTAATAAGTCAATAGCCATCAGTAAGCTGCAAATATCGATGTTGGAGCGTTTTGAGAAAAATCTAGAAGCTTCTGAAATAACCCCTAAAGTTGGATCTGCAGCTCAAGGACTAGCTATCCACGGACACGCATCCGACGATGCGATGCACTACGAAAAGTCCTCAATGACAATAACCAAGGCATCTCAGAACCTAGTTCATACCAGATGTACCAGGTTTGTTAAGCTTATTCTATATTCTATTCTATATATATATAAAAATGAATTGCTGTTCGTTAGTCTCGCTAAAACTCGAGAACGGCTGGACCGATTTGGCTATTCTTGCTCTTGAATTATTTGTGAAAGTCCAGGGAAGGCTTAAAAGGTAGATAAATATGAAAATACTTGGTATTAAATAAAAATAACAATTTTGTTTTTCGTTTGATGTGCCTCCCGTCGGACGGATTCCTTTTGTATGTTTTAACTTTATTTTATACAAAAGTTTAGGTCTTTTATTGCTCGATTGAGGCACTATGAAGTCTGTCGGGTCAGTTAGTATGCAATAAAACTACTTCATCTCGAATATCGAATAAATACTAAAATATTTGCTTTATTTGTCGTTTAGATATGGTTTGCCTAGTGACGAATGTGCGAGTTTCATCAGCACGTTAAACTTACGCGAGACCGATTTTGGCGGAGAATGCGCTGCGTTAGAACGTTTCACCTGTCGCACGAGCAGAATGTCTTCGAAATATCGAACCTTTGACGGTTCTTGCAACAACCCCGTGCGTTCTTCCTGGGGCCAAGCTCTTACGGGCTACAAGCGCCTATTGCATCCTAAATACGCTGATGGTATCGAAGAGGTAAGGAGAGCTGATATATTGAACAATGATACGTATTTGCAATAAATACTTTTACGGTAGGCAGCGGCTTGGCTCTGCTCCTGGCATTGCTGAAGTCCATGGGCGACGGTAACCACTTACCATCAGGTGGGCCGTATGCCCGTCTGCCTACACGGGCAATAAAAATATATATATAATGTTTTTTCGTAGCCTCGTCAAGCTCTGAGCCACAAGCTATTGCCATCAGCACGTCTCGTCAGCATTAAGTTGGCGGATAACAAAGACCAGCCTGACGTCAAGAAAACCATCGCCCTGGCTGTTTGGAGTCAATTCGTATACCATGATCTGGTGCACACTCCCCTTAGACGAACAAGTAAGTTCTTTAAGTACATTTTAAAACATTACGAATTCTCATGCGCTGGACTGATCACGTGAAAGACCTTACTGAAACCCCACCTAAAGAGTGCGTGCGCCAAGCCTCAGTCCGCAAACTATGGAAAACATCTGTCAAGGCTTTAACAAACAAGAATTCCACATGACCACGACTGCTCTGCCAAGAGCAACCGACTATGATAATGATGAAAACATTACTATCAAAATTCTATTTATACTAGGCCTGGAATAATTTTATGACATAAACTACTGGTGGTAGGACCTCTTGTGAGTCCGCACGGGTAGATACCACCACCCGGCCTATTTCTGCCGTGAAGCAGTAATGCGTTTCGGTTTGAAGGGTGGGGCAGCTGTTGTAACTATACTTAGAACTTACATCTCAAGGTGGGTAGCGCATTTACGTTGTAGATGTCTATGGGCCCCAGTAACCATTTAACACCAGGTGGGCTGTGAGCTGGTCCACCCATCTAAGCAATAAATGAAAAATTACGTTAGTTTATCATTTGAACAGATTATATCGTATTCTTGCGCAAATATATTTACGTTATAGTCCAAATTCTTTTTAGTTCACACGAATCAGCGTATTCGTTGTTGTGAAAACACTGGATTCCCTGTTGCTCCTCGATACATGCACCCCAGCTGCATGCCTATAGCTGTATCAAACGAGGATACCTACTTCGAAGGCCAGTACGTCACTTGTATGGAGTACACCAGGTCCGTCACCACATACAGGGGAGACTGTACCTTCGGAGCTTCGGAACAGGTAAGAAAATACTCTGAATACGAGCATCTCTAACTATAGAGATGCTACTGGTGGTAGGACCTCTTGTGATTCCGCGCGGGTAGGTAACACCGCCCTGTCTATTTCTGCCGTGAAGCAGTAATGCGTTTCGGTTTGAAGGGTGGGGCAGCCGTTGTAACTATACTGAGATCTTAGAACTTATATCTCAAGGTGGTGGGCGAATTTACGTTGTAGATGTCTATGGGCTCCAGTAACCATTTAACACCAGGTGGACTGTGAGCTTGTCCATCCATCTAAGGAATAATAAAAAATGTAGTGGTAAGTGACATGGTCACTACACAAGGGGGTTGCGGGTTCGAACCCCGCCAAGGGAAGATATTTGTATGATAAATATAAAATATATTTTCCAGGGTTCTGGATGTATATTAAATACACATGTATGTGTATAATAAAAAAAATCTTACATTAATTTCCGTTACACAAGTTCTTTACTAGCTTAACACAGGACCAGTTAACGTGGCGTGATTGTTAGTAAATATTTATTTATTATTATAGAAAATAAAAGACAAAAAAACTGTTAGTTCTTAATTTGAAATGTACTTTAACATAAAATTTGAAAATAATGCTTATTGCTTTAAATCATGTTTTCTCGATACATTTATAATTTTATATATCAACAAAATTTTGTTTACGTAATAAAACAAAAATGAACCTAAGAAATATTCTGTTATCGCATTGTAATACTGTAGCCGTTGACGGGTCATTGTATTCTGAGTATTGTATTAAACAAAGGAGAATCATTCTTAATAATTATATTAAACATTAAATATTATCAGTCAGCAGAGTCAATCAATACATTTCTTATCTTCTGCTTATGCGTTATTTCTTTCCATAACTACCGCGGTTTGTGTGTTTGAGTATCGCATCCGCCTAACCTGTACCGATCTTTATGTGTTTACATAATTACGTCCGTAAGTCTAATTAACTTTCCTACGAAATGTTATCTTCAATGATTATTGAAGTTGATACTTACATAAGGATGTAGTTGTAAAGGCGAATAGTTGTTTTGTGTTTATAATTAAACCTTCAAGTAAAATAATTATATCAATACTGCACGTAGATCATATGTGTGCATTATCTAAGGCATTTTGTTAATCAAACAATTTATTTTTAATCGAATTTAAAAAAAAAATATCCAGTAAGTAACCCAAGCATAAAAATCAAATTCTTTGAATAATATGGACGAAAGTTTGAAATGATTGCAAGTGTAAAACAAAATGAATTGAATAGCAAAAAATATATATATATGTTTTGTTGATCTTGTATAATTGAGGTCAGCTAACATTGTAGTGGCTTTAAAAAAAACCGTTTGCATTACAAAATAATGCTTATTATTTATTTCACTGCGTGCTACAAAATTAATTGTATTAGAGCTACTCAGTTTAAAACAGCGTTGTATTAACATGTTCAATGTGATTCATAATTGAAATTAAGTACATTATCAATATGAAAATTTAACGTTAAATCAACGCTGGATATAACAATATCAAATAGCTACTAATTAATTTCATCATGATATGCTAGTTTTTGCCTTTGGGTTCGCCCGCGTAGACTGATTTTCTTAAGCTATGTAAACTTGCCAATAAAATATTTTTTTACACAATACTGAAGGTAGTTCAGCCATTTTGTTCCAAATATACATTACGTTATTGAACATTTTTTCAAAATTACTTTCGTGGCTTAGAACAAGTGAGCGAGAAGCCCGATAGCACATATATATTTACATTACATAGTTACAGACGGTTTTATACTATTTAGTGAAGTGATAAAGTTTATTTGGATTACTGATCTTTAATATTGTTCTACATCTGTATAGGTAGGTACAGCATGACGTAGATATCCAAACAATAGATACAATTAATTGGTTATCACATAATGTAATAATAATAATAAAAATAAATTACATATAAAATTACATTACTCCGACAGATTTTTAAGCTTTTAATTTGGAAAAAAACATCCTTTTAGTACGAATCAAATACTCCATACTAAGTTTAACACTAATTGCGATTATAAATATTTTTATTAAGATGTGTTTTAGTAGTTTGTAGAAGATTAAAAATACCCTAGTTCTGTTCTGTATACCTGAAAACGTGCATGCAGTTTTATGATATTCAGTTGAATACTTAGGCCCTGGAAAGCGTTACAAATAAACAGATAAACTCAAATTTACTTTACGATATTATGATATTAGGTATGAATGATGGTATGTTCTGAAAAACGCTGTTTTGACAACATTATGTATTGAAATAAGTCATTATCATTGCTCACGTAGTAGTGTATTATCATTATCATTGTTGTGTCCATTATGGACAAGGTTTGTAGGTAGTGGTGTTGTTTATCGACCTTCGTACGAAACGCCTTAAACGATTCAATAACGTTTTCCGTGTAATTTTTTTTTCTATTTTTATTAATGTTTATTTCTATCTGAATTTTATAGATAACTCATTTTATTATCGTAAATATACTAATGTACATATGTGCACGCTGTTTCATACGAGACGACTTATCAGCTGTTATATATTTTTGTTAATTTTTTTATTTACACGATGAGAGTTTCTCGAAACCGCAGACGAATTTGTGATTAATAGATAAGGTACCTTCATACTTACTCATATCAAGTGAACTTTTGTTCACAACATTCAGCAACAATCACAGCAGGTATCAAATTTTTATGATTAAATATGTTTCTACATGTTCCTGGGACATGGTTCGATATGTTGATCATATCTTATGCGATTATGTCACGCTTTATACAAGTATTCCCGCGATCATTAAAATCTCGTCATTAAGATGGGCAGATATATATGTATATATTGCTTAGATGGGTGGTCGAGCTCACAGCCCACCTGGTGTTAAGCGGTTAGTGGAGCCCATAGACATCTACAACGTAAATGCGCCACCCACCTTGAGATATAAGTTCTAAGATCTCAATATAGTTACAACGGCTACCCTACCGAAACGCTTTACTGCTTCACGGCAGAAATAGGCAGGGCGGTGGTACCTACCCGCGCGGACTCACAAGAGGTCCTACCACCAGTAAAAGTAAGTATGTTAGAATGTGACTTATAGGAAACATGGGACGGTCGCAGACAGAAAACATTTGCCTTTCTCGCCTTCTTGTATTGGAAAATCTCTAATGACGTAAGATTATATCGAGTAAAACTCCTTGACTCGAGTTAAATAATCCGGTCGGAGTACGTGTATGACCTTCGTATATCCGGTATAATGTTGCACTCGAAATAATAATATTCAATAAATTGTTTGTGTTACGTATCAAGTAAATATGTATGCTCAAATGTATTATTTGGAATACAAAAACAAAATCTCTAGGACATTTAAAAAAAAAATTGTCGTCATTGAATCATAATATTGTAAATTTGGTAATTCATTGACTAATTACACGAATTCTGGTTATTTCATTTGAAAAATAATTAGAAAAGCCAAAAGTAATCCAGAAATATCTTAGAGGACACGAAGACATTACATGAATTCACAGTGATCAAATGATATTATAATCCATCAAGTATCAAGTTACAATGAATATTGTCAGCGTGATTCACAAACGAGTATATGTTACTAGGTCAATTACTTATTTTATTACGTGATCGTGTTACCGTACGTTTTTTTATAATAATATAAATTGAAGGATAAACTACATACATATTTTCTGAATACTAAATAAGGGGTATTTTGGCTGTCAGCATAAAGTTAAAATACGCTAATTAAAATTCATACTACTAATGTATAGTGCGGATTTAGTCATTATAATTGATATTGGTATGGACGATTTTTATTGTTATTAGAAACAAGTATGTTGATGAATTTTGGGCTGTTTTATCATCATCATCATCATCAGCCCACAGTCCCGACAGAGCCCGACCTTTGGCTTCCTTCGAAGGTTACTGCATCGGGTAGCCGACGGGCGTCCCACGTCACGTTTGCCGCTTCACTCACGGGCTGCTGCTTATTTAGTAACAACTAGCGGCCCGCTCCGGCTTCGCTCGGGTCTTTAACAAAAAATTCAACGATATTTGACAGTGTATTATTTTTTTAAATAAAAGAACACTTATTACGGCATAGCTATAATAGTTAGACATATGCTGTCGCAACACTTTTTGTAAATAATAATGTGTTCTACAAAGTCGTAGTACATTATTTTATTCTATCATAAATAGTTTTCGCAGGGCACGCGATGTGAAGAATATTTTAGGTAATTTTTTTACACCTTGGGTTACATTATTGGAGTTTTAGTAAGGATCCCTAATATTTTTCAAAAAATATTATATGTCACTAGGGGATTAGTGTAGCTTCCAAACAATGAAAGATTTCTTCAAATCTGTTCCGTAGTTTCGGAGCTTATTCAATACAAACAAACAAATAAATCTTTCCTCTTTATAATATTAGTATAAATAAAACTATTTAGTAACAATAAAACTACAAACATTAAAAACGTAATTAATCTAATCGTGGTTCAGTATTTCTCACATTAATATAAATTCAAATTTATTTTTATTCCTTACAGATGAACCAGGCTACGCACTTCTTGGATGGATCTCATATCTATGGATCGAACAGTCGTGAAGCAGCAGCCTTGAGAGAGATGAAGGGTGGGCTCCTCAAAACTACGAACATTGAAGACGAGGAGTTTCTTCCTTTAGCTTCAAATCCTAAAGAAAAGTGCCTTGTCGACTCTGACGACGAAATCTGTTTCAACACTGGTAAGGGTTTAATTGTTTTAATTTTGTGGCTTTGAAGGGCAAAAGAGCTTATGACCCATCCAGTTTCAAGTGGTTACTGAAGCTCGTATACATTACCGACAAAAATCTCGCCACCTATCATGAGCATGAGTTCTAAGTCTCTGTCTTTACAGTACAACGGCTATCGCACCCTTCAAATTAAAACGCATTACTGCTTTGCGGTAGAAACAGGCAGGGTGGTGGTACCTACCCGTAGAGGCTCAAAAGACAGCCTAGTATAAATGTTACATTTGAGTCGACTATTATCAAAGGCGGCAATCTGACTTTTGGACAATGATTGGTAAATCAGAAAAACAAATTATTGACTTTGTATTCCATTGGCAGTCACAAAACTCGTCGGAACGAAATCTTAGATAAATAACAGGTTAACTATTAACCTTTATTTAGTGAAGGTTTTGAACCGTATTCTTTGAAGGAGACGATTATATTCAAATCAATCTGTATTGACATATCAATAAAAATATTTTGTCCAAATGCACAGATTGCCACCTTTGATAATAGACGACTCATTTATAGAATTTTAATACCAAACTCAAATGAAGTTTGCACCAAACTCAAATGAAGTTTGCAACCTAGACTTAAGTCCCGATTACTTCTCAATATTTTTGTTAGAAAACAAGTAAGATGTTAAAAGAGAAGAAAGGAGTTTGAAATAAAATTGAATTTGAATTTTAAATATAATGAAAGGCGTTTCGCTTTCCACGCGTTTTGTTTGTTTACAAATTTGGACCAATGTGGAAATATTGTTCTGATAATGGCGATAACATTTCGTGTTAGCTTGTGATAAGAATAATAAATATAAATAATTTACGTAAATATTGTTGTATACACAGACGTTTTATTCCGTGAATCTAATGTCAAATACTGTATTCCATATAATTTAACCTTACCGCGTCTTGATATAAAAATATTATATAAGAACCAGTATAAATAACAAATTATTGAATTTTATCTAAAAACACAAATACTTTAAACAAAAAGGCCATAATTTAATCCTAGTACAGTTATATATTTGTATATAAATTACCTTTTTATATTTTAATTAAATTGATTTACTAATAGTTCTCACAATTAAATTTAGATTACACAAAGTACTCTTCCATAACCATTACACACTAATATTACTTCTATATGATTAAACTATATTACAATATTATTTTGGTAAGCATCGTTTTTCTCTTTGTATCGTATCTCTTGTTTGAGGTCGAACTTTTGTGTTAAAATTTCTTGATTTCCACATTCGTTTGTAGTTTCCGGAATTCAATCGAACCTTTTTGTACTTTCCTTACTAGATACGATTTCTGGTAACGTCTAGAATGTTCTATATCGTTCGTTGATGTCCTACTAATTGCAATGATAATTAAATTTTAGAAATGTACAATTCTATTACATTTCTATTGTGATAGGACCTTTTGTGAGTCGGCGCGGGTAGGTAACACCACCCTGCCTGTTTCTGCCGTGAAGCAGTAATGCGTTTTGGTTTGATTTGTAGGGCAGCCGTTGTAACTATACTGAGATCTTAGAACTTATATCTCAAGGTGGGTGGCGCATTTACGTTGTATATGTCTATGTTCTTCAGTAACCACTAAACACTAGGTGGGCTGTGAGCTCGTCCACCCATCTAAGCAATAAAAAAAAACATTTATTCTCTAAACTGCAAAATTCATCAAAATACCTACGAATTATAATAAAACAGAATCGAAAAAAACAGCTCACGGAATAAAATTACTAAATTTCATTAATCTTTCCTAATTAAAAGGCTTCATTGAATTTATTGCTCAACAGGCGATGTTCGTGCTAACATGCATCCATGGTTGACGAGTATGCATTCTATCTGGGTGAGAGAACACAACCGTATCGCCAGAGTTCTATCAACCCTAAATCCTAGCTGGAACTCTGATAAGCTGTACCACGAAGCTAGAAGGATTGTGGTTGCCGAGTTGCAGCACATTACTTATAAACATTGGCTCCCATCGTTGACTGGTAAGTTTGGATAATTATCTAAATATTTATATTCTGTACTGGATTCTATTCTAATTTGTGTTTTTGATGCTATTCTACTATTTAGTTTGGTGTACTTTGACGTTTCACGTAGTGGATTAATTTTAAAAATAGGCGCGACACGGCACCCCCTTCATTATTTATCATCATTCTCCTGCCCTTCTCCCAGTCATCTGGGGTCGGGGCAACATGCTTTCTCCTTCTATACTCCTTTGTCATATCCCATTTCTGCGGTCACTCCCCCTTACCCATATCGTTTTTCACGCAATCCATCAATTTCTTCTCAGGTCTATCTCTTCCTCTATATCCTTCCATATTGATAGTTAACACTCTCTTACCAACCTCATTTTCATTTTATCTCATCACATGTCCATACCATCCCAAACGCGCCCTTCTTAACTTCTCTGTCACAAGTGCCACTTTCAGACTTCCTGCAACATATTAATACGATAATCCCCTTATCCGCTGCAAAAACTAGCCGAGGCGACGGGCCAAGACAAAGCAGGCGTCGCCCTATGTCGGAATCCGGATCCGCTCTCGGTGCTTTTAAGCTCTTCAAGCACCGGTCACCGTCTTCGTCAAACTCTTCGATCAAGAGTTTGACGTGCGGACTAGCCCATAGACACAACCCACAGAGTTTCTGGCCAGTGGGTTGCGATTCCGATACGGTAATAAATTCAGCGAAACGCTGCTCTTGCTAGGGGGTCAGTGTTAGCAAATTATCTCAGATTGAACACGTAAATTCACCTACCAATCTGTGAGTAGCAGAAATAACCCCTTACGCTACCAGCGATAGATCATGCTCGGAAGATGTACCCACTGTACCATTGCCATTTTTTTTAAAATGTATAATGTTAATAAACTGTCGGCAAGGTACGAGGTATTTTTATTGCATAGATGGGTTGACGAGCTCACACTCCATCTGGTGTTAAGTGATTACCGGAGCCCATAAAGGTGTGCATCTTATTATTTTATTGTAAAATCTTCCTCATTGAAACCCAAAATCTGAACAAGGAACCGTCCGCTACATGGTACGCATAAAAAAACTAGTGGATGAACTATTCTTGCTTCAGTTTTACATTATTAAATCCATTACTATTATTACTGGTGGTAGGACCTCTTGTGAGTCCGCGCGGGTGGGTACCACCACCCTGTCTATTTCTGCCGTGAAGCAGTAATGCGTTTCGGTTTGAAGGGTGGGGCAGCCGTTGTAACTATAGTTGAGACCCTAGAACTTATCTCAAGGTGTGTGGCGCATTTACGTCGTAGATGTCTATAGGCTCCAGTAACCACTTAACACCAGGTGGGCTGTGAGCTCGTCCACCCATCTAAGCAATAAAATAAATAAAAATTATTAAAATGTCTTCTTCACAGGTAAATCTTTCAACGAGCTCTACGAGGCTTACGACACCGGATACAATTCCGATGTAGACCCCACTATCACCAACTCCTTCGCTACCTCCGTCTTTCACTTCGTCAACAGTCTACTAGACCAGGACATCGAGATAGTGAGGAACAGCAATGTGACGTCATTGAGGCTTAAGGACTATTATTACAAGCCCGGAATTCTTGCGCAGAAAAATGGCATTGGAATGGTGTTGCAAGGAATGATAGGACAGAACGGTCAAACGATGGATTTGAATTACGACGACGATGTGAGTATCTTTATTTTTATAAAGAGCCTCTGCAGCGTAGATGTGAGAAAATTTATGATTTTTGTTTTGTGGCAAGAGAGTCATTTATTATATCCACTAAAAAGACGTCTTGTGAGTCCACACGGGTAGGTACCTCCACTCGGCCTATTTTTGTCATGTTTGAAGTTTGGGGGCAGCTGTTGTTCTGTAAAAACGGAGACCTTTGAACTCATATTTTAGGGAGGGAGGTGGTATTTATGTTGTAGATGTCTGTGGGTCCCGGTAACTATTAACACCAGGTGGGCCCTGAGCTCGTTCACCCATCTAAGCGATAAAAAAGTTAACATTTTTGGGTAAAAAGCTTTTGTAGCTTTGGGTCCTATTTTTTTGCTTCTTCTTAGAGACGCTTCTTCTTACAGCTAAGTCCTAGTTTTTGCTTCTATGATTAACCATAAAAAGAAACAGCTACAAATGGAAAGTAAATAATTATTTCGTTAATTTATTTTTATTGTCATAATGTTATTATGTATTGGTCATTAGGTATACACCTACTTGTTGATTTATTGAAAAACTTGTCGAGGTCCATCAAAATGTTTTTTTATTAAAATGTTGACATGAAAATATCTGGTAATATAATTAAAGGTTCTCGTAAATATAATTAAACGTATAGCTAGTCTTTAAATACATTACCTACATAAATATAATAAATAACTAGAAACAAATCAAGCACGGTCATCCGGATCCAAATTATGTTATGGGAACTAGCCGCTGACATAAAAACTTATATATATTAAATCTATACATACATATATAGATAATGAAAATCCAGACGAAGAGCAAATAAATCTATTCATCATACGAATATTTGTTCGATTTGAGAATGAAACTCACGACCCTAAGCTACAGTCAAGGTTACCTACTGCATCACCGCGTCATTTACACACATCAATTACCACTTATTATTATTAATGTTTGAATAATAAAATCAGAATATCCACGTATCGGCTTAATTTATTTCCACGATATACTTAAACGTAATACCGATACATATTAATAGATAAAATAATGTAATTATTATGAAACAAAAAATAAAATAGAGCCACAAAGATAATAAATTATTTTCTTTTCAAAAGATTTTATCATTTGTAATTTGAATTCGAATAATAGACATTAAAGAGAATATTGTTTACACCGTTTGCTTTTGAATAACTCTATTCTTAATGAAAACAAATACGAACGAGGATTAAATTATCTATTTCAGATCAGAACTAGTTTCAACTAGTTCACGCAGGAGTATCATGTGTATAGGGTGACCATTCGTACTGTTTTTGGCAGGACAGTACTGTTTTTTAAGACGCTGTCTTTTTTTTTAGAGTAGACTAGTCGAGTAAAACGTAAAGTGTAAACATCATAACCAAAGTAGTCTATACTATAAAAACAGTTACTTTTTTTGCTTGCTCCTTTTCCAATAATGATCACTATAATAATATGCATGTGACGCGCTTGATACTGCTGCGTTAAGCGCGGGTTGTTTGGAAATACCCACCGTTTGAAGTTTGATATTTATTTGAACAGCTACGTCACCGCTGGCTTGGAGGTCTCGACGTTTTGGCCATTGACATCCAGCGCGGTCGGGATCACGGACTGCCTGGCTACACCCAATATCGTTTGCTCGCCGGACTTCCCGCCGTAAACAGCTTCCAAGACCTTTATGACGTCATTCCCGAGGAGGTGAGATTCACGAATATCCATTGAAATTAAAATATAGTTGTTAAATTGTAGATTTTGATACTTGTTTTTTTTAGTTACACTTTTGAGACGAGGATCTATGTAGTGAAACTCGTAAAAGTTATTTTCGATATTACAAATACTTTACAGTTTTTCTAGTAATGAACGAACAAGGTATTATTAATAGAAATTTTAATATCACATCATATGTAACCTTTAAAAAAATTCAATAACTTTTAATGATAAATGATTTAAATTATTACAAGTACTTTTTTAATCAGAAAGAATTAGGTAACAGTATGTTAAAATTAATTTTGTCTAATTACAATAAAAACTTAGTCGTTCTTCATCTCGAAAACTGTGGAGTATTATAGAACAAAGACATAATTAAATCGTAAATGTAGTTACAATTATGTCTATTGTATTGTTAAAAGCCTCGCAGTATGTATGACTAACAAAATCTGTTTAAATACAAAACATAATTTCTTTTAACTGAAATAAACGAGTAACAACATGCGTTATAAATGATCAAAGATATCATGTACGATTATCCACTGAATCCACATTATTGGAAACATCATTATAAAAATCTACACGATTAACAATTCTTCGGTATTAGTTGTATAAATATTTAATTTAGAGCATTATCATAGATTTTTGCGATTCAAATTTAAATATGTACTCATATTGTTAAATATTTCACACTAAATTGACTCAAATTAAGACGTTCTAGTTCTACAAGTGCACCCAGACTTCGAATACCGATTATATTCAAAGACAAGACTAATTTAATATCAGACAAGACCATTTGGGAAGTCGCTAGGGCGAATCCGCGTGCTTATTGCGAGTTTATGAACGTTGCCGCTAGGGGCGCTGTTCCAACTGCATACAAATTTGAGTTAACTTTTACGCGATCGAGAAGTTAAAAAACTCGCATTAAGCACATGCATTCGTTGGTTTTTGTCAATATAAAAATAAATATAGTTTGTTATTTCGGAAATTTGTTGCCACGAAACATACAAAGGAATTAGTGTTAGTACTAATTTTGACCGGGAATAGAACTATGAACCCGTGCTAATACGGTTTCAATAACACTTGATTAACAAAGGAATTAATGAAAGACGTGTAAAATGTGTAAGAGCGAAGAAATGGTACCTATATGATAGAGAGTATATGATAGAGAAGTAAGGAAGGAGAAAACATGTTGCGCTGACCCCAGGTGCCTGGGAGAAGGGCATCAGAATGATTTGATAACAAAGAAATTAATTCAATTGAATTTGGTTTGTTCCATATAAAGTTAATGTGTACCACTCGCAATTTATACAATACTAGCCGTACTCGCCCGCTTTGCTGGGCATTTAAAATTAACATTATTACCTATTTATTGTCATTATTATTAGGGAGTCCAACACTCATATAAATATTAGCCTATCCATTAATTACATGTATTTTCTACATGTATACCAAGATTCAAGTCAATCGGATGCATGGTTCAATAGTTATAACGGAACATCCGTAAAAACCACTGTAGTTGTATATATTAGTATAGATGTACATATCTATATTTAAATAGTTTAAGAAAAACAGTCAGGTATCATTTTCTCCTGTGATTATTATTTCATTGTTTTTGTTATTGAGTTTAAGTGTTATCAATTAAAATATATTTTTTTCAAGCGTAAATAACACAACAAAAGAGAAAATTTGTACTTAGGATTAAGATTGAATTCTTCGATCGTTCAGTGACTAATAATTTAAGGTAAATGTTCTGATTAGTTACGGTTTTCCGTAGACGGTGGAGAGACTGATGGAAATCTACGAGAATCCAGCTGATATTGACTTGGTAGTCGGCATGATGGCTGAGAAACATCTTCCTGGTTCTCTTCTAGGACCAACTGCTACTAGTCTATTTAGTAAGTTATTAATTCTTTGTAATAAAATGTAATATCACATCTTATATAAATTTATATAATTTAGTTAACAGAAGTTATCTTGTCTTACGATATGACGCGCGATGTGCCCGTATAAAGCAATGTGACTATGCCGGATACTCAAATATCGCAGGCTGGTATAAATTTTCCAAAGAAAATATGCACTCATAACTTGTTTACGAACAACTTCAAATGAACGTATACCATCGTGTAATTAACAGAAATCAAAACTAGAATAATTATAAGCTTGCGTCATGACTGGACGTACTGGGTAAGGCGACGGGTGGTCACCATTTTGCCTATTTCTGCCGCTAAGGCGACGTGTAGGTGTCATCATTTTGCTCATTTCTGCCGCGAAACAATCATGTCTTACAGAATGAAGAATGTGACACCTATACGAATTTTTAAATGACAACGGCAATCGTTTTTTTCGTACTACATTGTTTGTACGACTAACAAATACCTACTTAAGAGCTTCGTTCTCATTATTGATAGAGTTGTCGCAATATTATTATTTAAATTCTTTATCTTGTCTGTTGTCAGACAGGTTTTAATTTATCATTCAAAAACACTGTTCTAATTCAGTTCAGATATTTTGGTATTAATACCAGAAATAAATATATTGGACAGGAGCATGCGTTGAATTAATGTATTTCGTTTGGTATCATTCGATAAATGTAAAAGCTGACTTGTTCGCATGTATATATCAATATGTGAAAGGCTGTTTGTTGAATGACATTTTTTTGAACTGTACAGGGGAGCCATTTAAAGCTTAAAATTTGGAAATATTATTATATCATACCAAAAAATACTTCTTCAGTTTTTTGAATGGTATGGAACTTAATTGTAATCAATTAAAAACATTGAATTTTTTAATCTAATACCAAATAAAACGGACTTTGAATTACAAAGACAAATGTCACGTATTAAACGAAATATCGCTTTCGCAAATAGGCTTTCCCCTCTCAGTATATTCGTTTCTTTTTAATGTTTCCGTGACTAGCTCAAGGGTCACCGACTCTAAAGTCCTTCAAATTTCATCGAAACTCGATTGACATTGTCAACACGAATTAATAGAGTTTTTACTTACAGAGGAACAATTGTGGCGTACTCGCATCGCGGACCGTTATTTCTACAGCCACGTAAACGAGGCCGGTAGTTTTTCTAAGCGACAACTGGCAGAGCTACGTAGGGTTTCCCTTGCCAGATTAATTTGTGACAACACCGATATGAAACAACTGCAGAGAGATGTGTTCGAAACACCTTCTGATAGGTGAGTTTTTATTGCTTTCAAAGTTAAAGCCTAGTACCTAGATGATTATAGATGTTTTGAAGGCTCCTTTGAACGAGATCACGACGGTTGAGTGGCTTAGATTTGTGGTAGTTTGGCAAATTATCAGCGACTTGGGTACAAAGATGTCACAATGCCGTCGCCCATCTTAAGACACTATAATGAGACTTAATATCATTCAAAGCTGATAACGTGATTGTTTTGGGTCAGATATAGAAGTGCCCGTCGTGTTATGGGTGAAGGATTTGGTCACTTTTTTATGAACTTAGGGCTCATACAGAGAAAGCCCATGGCCTACCTGATGGTAATTGTTGGATGTCTTCATTTTACTTACAGACGTTTTTTTATTCTCGTTCCACAGTTTGCTATTATAATTATTCTAGTTACTAGAATAGAGTTCATATTGACTCAAAGACAAAAAGACTTTTTTTTTGCTTAGATGGGTGGACGAGCTCACAGCCCATCTGGTGTAAAGTGGTTACTGGAGCCCATAGAAATCAACGTAAATGCGCCACTAACCTTGAGATATAAGTTCTAAGGTCTCAGTATAGTTACGACGGCTGACCCACCCTTCGAACCGAAACGCATTACTGCTTCACGGCAGAAATAGTCAGGGTGGTGGTACCTACCCGCGCGGACTCACAAGAGGTCCTACCACCAGTAATTACGCAAATTATAATTTTGCGGGTCTTTATTTTACTTACAGACTTTTTTATTCTCGTTCCACAATTTGCTATTATAATCATTATAGTTACTGGAATAGAGTTCATATTGACAAAAACACTAAAGTTCTTTTATGTTATTTTTGTACAGCAACCCTGTCGTATCGTGCGAGGAAATAAAGAAGGTTAACTTAGAAGCGTGGCAGGACTCTGTGGAGAGACCCGACATCCTCGCTCGCACCAACAAATGGATCAAGGACAAAGTGATCATCGGTGAAAACAAAATCTAGATTTTTTAACGGGTAGCTGATCATCATTAAAAATTGTGAACACAAGTGTGTTTCAGTATTGTATTCGTTGCTGTTAGATCGAGCAAAACGTTCCTGAGAATTTCGTAGTTATTTAAAAACTCATAATGCATTTTATCATTTCGTCTTCAATCACCAATAACGTTCATTAATATCGGTTTTACGACGAAGGCCGCAGAGCGTGTCGTATTAACGATACCATGTTGTAAAGTGGCTGTGATATCCAAGTGGATATGATGTCCATTTATGAGATTTTTGCCTCGGAAACGGGGCGTTTCGGTTCTCGATGTCAATATGTTCAATATTCGGGAGCCTTCAAGAAAAAGTTACTAATCATGAACGATGACGTCATAATTTGAAAGATTTTCATGTTGGGTTATGTCGGGTGTTCATTAATTTGGAATGTGATATATTAAATGAAATTAACTCAAATACAACGACAAAAACTGGGTCACTTAACAGCCTTTAACCTATCTGTTGAAGTAGATACCAGTATATATTATTATTAATTACAAAACCTTAAAAGAAGATATAAGCACTTCACAGATAATACTTTGTAAGGAGCGAATTGATTTAGTTTTGTTGGTAAGCGTCTCGTTTTCGACTTATACTTTTTATTTAATTACTTTAATGTTCTAATGTTTGAAAGGTGAATAAAAGCATATTTATAGTTTAAATGAAAATAATTCTCCTGAACGAATGTAGAGATAGTTTTACAATTGCTTGCAAAAACGCGACACACTTTCCAAATAATTGTTCTTTTTCAACAATGTTTTTGTGCATTTAACTTTTGTTGGCGACTGTACTTTTTAGATATATTGCGTCTTATGTGTGTGCCATACCAAAGACAGGACTACTTATGTTTTTATTTTAGCAATTAATAATTAAATATACAGTCAAAGCCGTTTACTGCGACATCGTTTAGAACAACATGCCGGTTATAATAACCTAGAACAAAGGTCCCGGCTGAATGCCATATGACCGCCTTATTAAAAACATTGCTTTATACGACATTGCTAATAACGACATACCTCATAAAACGACCACATTTAACTAATATTTCGGAGAATTAGATCTGTTAGAACGACCGGCTAAGCTGTATTGTAAACAATTTGAATAGGTATCCACATTTGATGGCTATTAAGCTATTAAAATCAGGAAAGAAAACAATAGGATTTAGTTTAGTATAGGGTCTTTTCTAATTCTTAGAAACAAAACACGTGCATGCAGTAGAGTCAAAGCCCGCTTCTTCATATCTCTTCAGTTAGTTTGTTACTTATCTATACACAAGGCGCACCAAAACTTTGTGGAGTTATTCCTGAAACTTTCAAAATATCGCAAAGAATGAGAAAACAAATTAATATTGAAGAAAAATCGCGTATTATGTAAATATATTTTTCCAATAATACCCTATCGATTTGTTTGTACTTGCACGATACACATTAAACATCACCGGTTGTTACGACTATCGGTTTTTACGACTGAATATGAGCAGTCCCTTCGATGTCGTTATAACAGATTTTGACTGTATTAATAATTATTAATTAAAATAATACCAGACTGGTTTCTTTTATTTTAAGCTCAACTTAATAAGCTAAGTCTCTGTAGAATTTAATGTAGCACATTTGTTTGGATATAAATGCATTTAATCATGTATTTTTCGGGTATTTCCAATTGAAATTTGGATTAAACTGTACTTATGCATTACCTAATTTCTGACGTATAGTGACATAAAGTGGCAGGTGGTAGTGGTAGGTGATAGACATAAAGTGGCACACACATCTCTGGATCTTTTAAAAATTGTGGTTGTAAAATATGTCAAAAAAACCATGAAGTTTTTATGGAAGTCACAAAGTTCATTTTTAATGTGAAATATGTTTTCAAAGCAAAAAATATTTGAATTAGACTGTTTATTTGTTATGATTATAATGTGTAATTTGTCAATAAAGTTGTTTGTAGAGAACTAAAACTGTCTTTTCTTGAGAGAACTAGAGCCTTAGATTTTTCGTTGATCTGGGTGGGCACAGCTCGAACTCGTTACGCTTACGTTTTGTCTTCTAGGCAGACAACGAGCATACAGACCACCTGACAGTAAGTAGTAGTAGACACTAGCTTTGCTCGTTTTTTTTTTATGACGCCATCTGTTGTGTCTTTAAAGCGGTTAGTTGCCCTCAATTAAGAAAAATAGTATTATTATTTGCCAATAGATGTCGGGAAGTGTTGATTATTGAAAACACGAATAAAACAACATTTTCTGAAAATAAATCATAGCTAGATCGATTTATCGCCCCCGAAATCCCCTGTCTACTAAATTTTATGAAAATCGTTGGAGCCGTTTCCGAGATTCAGATTATATAAAATGTTTGTGTACCGGGCTATTAATAGGTGCGATGAGACCTCCTCTGTTTGTGACAGAAAAAGATCTGGCCGCCCACGTAGTGTTCGTACGAAAAAGGTAGTCAAAGCAGTAAGGGAAAGAATTCGAAGAAATCCTGTCCGAAAGCAAAAGATTTTATCTCGGGAGATGAAGATAGCATCTAGAACCATGTCGCGTATTTTAAAAGATGACTTCGGACTTGCAGCCTATAAGAGACGTACTGGTCATTTCTTAACTGATAATTTAAAAGAGAATAGGGTGGTAAAATCGAAACAACGGATGAGAAAAATTTTACAATTGAGCAACATTTTAACAAACAAAATGACCGTATTTATGCTCCAAGCTCTAAGGAAGCTTCTCAATTTGTCGACAGAGTGCAACGTGGGCACTATCCGACTTCAGTGATGGTTTGGTGGGGTATTAGCTATGAAGGAGTGACTGGGCCATACTTTTGTGAAAAAGGTATCAAAATATCAGCACAAGTGTATCAAGATATCATTCTTGAGAAGGTAGTGAAGCCCCTTAACAACACCATGTTCAATAATCAAGAATGGTCCTTCCAGCAAGACTCGGTGCCAGGTCATAAAGCTCGGTCTACGCAGTCTTGGTTGGAAACGAACGTTTCGGACTTCATCAGAGCTGAAGACTGGCCGTCGTCTAGTCCCGATCTTAATCCGTTGGATTATGGTTTATGGTCAGTTTTTGAGAGTACGGCTTGCTCTAAACGCCATGATAATTTGGAGTCCCTAAAACAATCCGTACGATTGGCAGTGAAAATGTTTCCCATGGAAAGAGCGTGCTTATTGATAACTGGCCTCAACGTTTAAAGGACTGTATTGCAGCCAATGCAGACCACTTCGAATAAGATTTTTATACTTTATATTGTTTTATATTTATGTATTAAACTAACACACTGTAAAAGTAATAAATGTTATTTGCCATAGATTTTTTTTATTTTTTATTGTAACAGTATTTATGGCCAGACTAAGTATATACAAGAATTGCTCGTTTAAAGGTATAAGATATCAGAGACATAGTCAGGTCTGTGCTACTGCCACTATAGATTATGTCTACTGTGTAATACAGTATACCGAATAGAGTTATTGTATTGTTACACGCTGGGGTTCGGTATAAATAAAAAATTTACCGAGTTACAAGTTGACACTGTATTAACACTTAGAATACTTAAAACACTTCACAAACAGTTTAAAATTCTCAATTCGCTTCTTCCGCTTCGCTTCAGGTCATCCGTCCGCTGTTTCCCTTCGAGTAGTTCCGATCATAGATTATACACTTAATATATTCGAGGTTCCGATTACTAACTGACGGCGTGCCATCTCTGCAACGCTTTTATAGTCGAGACGAAATCCCTAGAATCGTCGAGAATATTCCACAAAAGTCGAGTATGTTGTGTTTACGCTATCTGACAATAGATGGCGTTGTACTTCGCGAGCGTTCTAGATGGCACTAGATCCTTCGATATTTGTTCGACTATGCGGCGATAGATGGCGTTACTCTATATTTGGTGAAATCCAGAGTTAATAAAGATTTTGATGAGAAACGCTGAAGTAGATGCTCAATGTGATGAACTGTAAGAAGTAAGAAACAAACGACTGCCTTGTGATATCTCTTATAACAGTGTGCCACCTGCCCGCAATGTGCGCGATCGGTTAGAAATAAGATCGCTTATATTAGGCATACACGAGCACATTATGTCAATTAGGTAGCGGCCAAAGAGGATTGGAATTTAATTGGTTTCAGAATTAAAATAAAGATAAACATTTACTTTTTCGTCTGCCTTCTAAGTGGCAATCGTCATTCGTAGTTATTACGAAAACAAAAAGACATTTCCACAAGTTACGATAAATGATACCGTCCTTCAAAACCCTTATCTCAAATTGAAACTTTGAAAATGTTATTACATTTTCCGCCTGGTTGATTTTCAAATACCCCTTATTTTTTATATTAAAGCTAAGAAAACGTTTCTTGAAATAACATTTTTGAACGTTTATTTTTAACTAAAGTTGTTTGATGTTGATTCGTATGGGTTGGCGATGTCAATGTACTCTGCTATGTTATTAGGTTGTTAATTTGAAAATTTAACGCTCTTCGTCTTAAATATAAATGTTTTTTCGATCGTGAAACGAGCGACATAAACGAAACTGTCAAGACATTATCATTGTTAGTAAACTATAAACAGCTTGGGAATAAGTGATCAGACCTGATCAGATATGAACATGCGTGTCATAATCAGATGTTTGATCAGGTCGAATTATAATTTGCGTAATCACTGGTGGTAGGACCTCTTGTGGGTCCGCACGGGTAGGTACCACCACTCTGCCTATTTCCACCGTGAAGCAGTAATGCGTTTCGGTTCGAAGGGGGGGCCAGCCGTTGTAACTATACTGAGACCGTAGAACTTATATCTCGAGGTGGGTGGCGCATTTACGTTGTAGATGTCTATGGGTTCCAGTAACCACTTAACATCAGGTGGGCTGTGAGCTCGGCCATCCATCTAAGCAATAAATAAAAAAAATTTAGTACGAACCCCTGTTTGTTTTCCCCAATGTCCTATCATGCTCATGTATGAACATATCTGGCATCAAGCATAAGCAGTCATGGCCATACCATGATGAGGTCTGAGTGTATTTATCGCTTCAGGCAAGGGCATGCACTAACCCGCATAATGCGGGTAATTATAATTATTTGGATTTTTTTATTCTGATTAACTTTTTTCATGCAAGAAGTGATGGTTACCGTGGCGCTAGGTTTGACTGGTGAACTATATTTGTTTATTTCTATTACTGCATGCACTTTGTTCATTTATGGATTTAATGCGTATTCAACAATACAGATACAGAAAAAACGCAGTAAGTGCATTGATTGATAAAGGAAAAAAAAATATCATTCATACTACGAAGAACGGCATTAAAAAAATCCCTTGAAATTGATATTATATCAAATTTTATCAATAGTCATTGGAAATTGTATTTAACTGCAATAATTGTAGACAGCGGATCCTTTTTTTCAATTACTCGTCATTTCTCGCGGCTTCCCGAGTTCAGAGAAACTTCTGGAAACAAAAATAATCTCTTCCGGACTTGCGGCCGAGGAGTATCAAGTTTCAATAGGTTCAGTGATTTCGTTCAGATCAGGAGCGCCGAAACGCCATTGGAATTGTAGTATTATTACATTTCGGTTTGAATCTTCGTAAGCTGTTACTATCTTTTTGGTTATGTTTGTATTCACTCGACCAAGTGTAGTAGTTGCATATGCGTAGGTCCATTAATTAAAATGTACTGTTTCAAGAATGCAGAACGGATTTTTTCATGGACGGTTGAATAAGCTAATGAACAATCTTGTGTTAAGTGGTTACCGGAACTTATAAACATCAAGAAGCAAATGTTGTTAGCAAAGAAACATAGAGTCAAAGTCTCCTAACGCTGTTCCACCCTTCAAACTGAGACGCACGATTGGTTGGAGGCAAAAATAGACGCTCCTTAATCCTGTAAGC